GAAAACAACTCTATTTTACCTATTTAAAAAAAAAAGGGAGATTATAGTGACTGCAGATCCAACTCTCCTCGTACCTCCTCCAGAAATTCATAAAGAGCAACAAAGAAATAAAAATACCCACGATCTCTAAAACACAGTAATAGATAACTTTTTTAACCATTAGATACTTATGTGCTTTATATGTATTAAATAAAGAAATAAAAATAGCCACGAATTCTACAAAAAAATTCCAAAAAAAATGGGAGATAAAGAAATCACAAGCTGCATTTTTTCCCTAAGTGGGGTAATAAGTAAGTATCCAGGACCAACACAATTCAGGCTGAATCTACCCTGGTACAGAGGGAATCCTACGGAAATTGAATGGGTAAGTAAAAAGTAGAGGTGCCCTAGTGGTGAAGGAACCCATGTATTATCAACAAGGCTTCTCTCCAGAGAGACCATCACCCTAAGGAGGATGATAGTGCTGAGACAAAGTACCCATGTTGAATTCATAAATGCAAATGCCCATGATCTATATGAAAGAAAAACATGAAAGCTTGAATAAAAAAATAAAACCCAAATCTATGCTCTATACAAGTACACACCTGTAACACAGTGATTCAGAAAGTTTGTTTTTTTTAAATGGCCAAATAGGCAAATGCAAACAAAAAAGAAGACATATCAGATAAGGTAGAATTTAGTCTGAAAAGCATGACAAAGAGAGGAACTAATATTTTTTGAGGCTAAAATTCACAATAAAGATAACATAATTAAAAATATCAGTAAAACAGCACAGAACAACATTCATAAACCAGAAACCAAGGAAAATAACAAAAAGAAATAGGCTGATTAATAAAAGACATATTTAAACTAGCTCAACTTCCTCAGTCCAATGTAGATCAAGCAGACATAGGATACCTGAGACAAATGATCACTAAGACAGATCTTAAAGATGAAAATATAAACTCTATATTCTGGTAAAAAACAATGACCTCCTTTTTAAGAACATATGAAACACTCCTGAAAACTGACCACAAATTAACAATCACAGTAAGTTCCAAAATGAATAAATGGCGCTGTAGCTCTGCGGGGGGAAGGGTCTTCCATGCCCAGGGCAAGTCCCCCCCAACCTATGAAGCTGGGAAAACCAAAATTAAGTCAAGGGAAAAAGCAGGTTGGAAGAAAGGCTTTTATTCATTACAGTCACTAGCCAGGCTTGGTCCTGTCCATCTCTTTCAGCCCTGGCTTGCACTCTGCAGCCTCAGTGCACTCTATCCTTCCCCTGCCTGCCTCTTACAGGAGGAACTCCATGGACGGGTCCTTGGTGACTGGCAGGTACCAGACCAATTCAGTACCAGGAATGGAGGGAAGGAGAGAATGGCTGTTTTCTCTCCACCCCTTGCCCTAGGTCAATGGGAGGCTCTGCAGTGGTAAACACCTATTGATATGTAAATGGACTAAGGCCAGGCGGGAGATTCTGGAAATTATGCCATTTACCCTACAGACACAAAATTCATGGAGTCACATTCTCTGACTATCGTGCAATAAAACTAGAAACAATTAAAGATGTTCTTTCTGCATGGAAATTTAAAATCTCAGGTAAAAGACAAAATACATCAGAATTGTTGAACTGATGAAAATACCACTTTATCAGAAGTTATGGACTAAGCAGTGCTCAGAGGAAAATTTATAAACATAAGTATTATGTCAACAAGAGTGAAAAAGGATAAAAATAATTGAATTAAATATTTAAATCAAAAGATAGAACAACATAAGAAATAGAATACAAGCAAGATAAACTGGTATTAATATATAGGAGTATAAAATGGAGTACAACCCATAAAGCACATCTAACACTATCTTCCGGAATTACAGATGTCTTTGGCTCCAACAATATATACTGCTGAAAATTAACCTAAAGATATATCTGATAGAGTGTGAAATGACACAGGTTCAGGTTAGTCATTATGGCAACATGGAAGACTGGAGACCACCCAATGTTCATCAAGAGGGAACAGTGTAATAAACTCTGTCCTTTCACACAATCAAATACTATGAAGCCATGGAAAATGAGTGCTATGAATTCTACAATATATTTTTAAGTGAAAAAAGCAAGATAAAGAACAGTACTTAAAATATTCTATAAAATATGAAAGGATTAACACATATACAGCTATTTCTTAGATATATGCATGTTTGTACATATATTTATATACACACATATATACACACATGTGATATGCAAATATTATATACATACACACGTTACATATGCATATATAAAAAACATCTCTATATAAAAGTAGATGAGAGCATAAAGGACAGAGATGAAAGCACAGTCTCTTTGAGCATGCCTTCTTTTTAATGTAGTTGGACTTTGAAAACGCATCTATTTTACATATCAAAAATAAAATAGAAGGAAGTTGGAAAAGAGAACTAATTATATTTCAATGATAACATAATCACAAAGATAAAATACTTCAGGTGATAACATCACTTTGGGGGACAAAAAGAAATGCAAAGAAATCTTAAAATTAGTACTTTTATTCATGTTGTTTTGAAACTACTTTATGGATACAAGAGGTAGCAAATAGTTACGTTAATGTTATCAACCAAGTACGGTAATGAAAGAGAAAGAGAACACAATGTTAAGGTGAAAAAAGGTAAACTTAAACTGGAGATATCAGTATTTGATATATCCAAATTCATATGACAGGATAATTTGACTACCAGGAAGTATAAGGTAGCTGACTGAAATACTCCGTATTATAAAAAAACTATGAGTTCGTAAGAATACTAAAAAAGAGAGAGAAAACAAGGGCAAAAACAAAATACTAAAACCAAAAAAAAATTCATTTGGACCACTGAAAATAACAAGGGCCACTAAGACCTTACTGCAAAAATTTGTCAGTACAAAGGGAGGCATTTATCCCTGCCTTTCCTCTACTACCGATTTCAAGATACCCAAATAGCTCTTATTAAATAAAGGATTGCAGCTTTAAAAATGTGGAAGGAACGATAATTTAGAAAACTTACTCTGGATCCCCCATTGCATTGATTCAGGCCACATTCATCAATGGGTGAAAGCACTGGATGAAAGGTGGTGGAGAACTTTCTAACGGAGGGCCCATGCTATCACTGGCTGTACCCAATACTCGGTTGTGCTATCATTAAAAGCAAACAAACACTGCATGACTCCTGATGTCGGGCACCACCTATGAAAAAGTCCTTCCAAAATGACTGAATTTGAATCTGATCAAGCCCATTGAGCTACTTCCATATACAGGAAATGCAGGTCTTAGTACAACAACTTCAATGCTACTAAAAGGAAGTAAAGGGACAAACTCAGAATGTGGGACATTGCATAAGTTTTACAACAAATCAGCAGCATAGGGGACAATTTTTAATCTGCTACACATTTAAGAGACTTCAAAGATTTTTGTAAATATGTGGTCATTGTGTTACAATTCAAAAAAAAACCCCAGATAATTTTGAGAAAATAAGGAAAACTGGATGATGCACTATTGGTTGATACAAAGAATCACTATTCATTTTATTAGGTGTCATAAGGCATTGTTGATTAAGTGAGAAAATACCTTATATTTTGAAAACCATCTCATGAAGTATGAAAGAACGAACATATGTGATTTGGGGATATGCTTCCAAGAAGAAAAAATAAAACTAAGAACAAAAAAGTAATGATGAAGCAAATGTTGAATATGTCTATGTGAAATCTCCATATATTTATTATGTTTAAATGTTTGAAATTTTTAACAATTAAGAAAATTAAAAAGATAAAACATAAAAATTAATATCAAGAAGGTCTAAGGAGAATGAGGTCTAAAAACAGAAAATAGTCTTATTTCTACTCCCCCATCTACTCCCATCCCACTCCCTGTTTGTCAGTACAGATCACCTTTCCCAAGGATTGCAGAATGGAGGAGGTGGGAAGGATGAGACCTTTTGGGGGTTCAACAATTTAAGACATTAGTATTGTACCAGAGTACAGTTCTTAAATAGTTCCTGATTTTTAGGCAATCCTTGACTATTTATTAACCAGTGTTAAAGCACCTATCAAGTTCCTTGAAAATCTCACAAATTAAATGCCAAAAAATAAGAGAATTTTAGCCAGGTAGTGAAAAATATAATGAAATTTTGGGTTTGAAATTATCACACTGGCAACAGTATAGAAGTAAGCTGAAGTCAAATTTAGGTAGAAAAGGGAGGTTGGGTAGTGGGAAGTGAGAGCAAGAACAGAAAACACTCTGTCACAAAACGACAACAAAAAGGTAACAGATGAGGCAATGGTAGAAGCTGAACGGCGATAGGAAGAATTTGGCATAAGGCAGATGACAAGTGATGGGATAAGGTACCTGAGGCCATTGACAGGTTTATTTATAGAAAATGGAAACACTGGCCTTAAACAAGAACAAACATTTTCATTGCTGAATTATATGGATTACAAAGTATGACAGTGGAAAAAGATATAGATATATAGGTACACAGATGTACAGATGGAGGGATGCGAAAGATTAGGGAGACTCAAATTGACGAATTCTTTCTTTTATGTGGAATTAGCCTTTTCTAAAGAAGGAAAGGTTAGTACAGATTATGTATACAGGCAGGGAGAGTAGTGATGAAAGGGTTTCCTATGGAACAGTTATGACAGTTGCTGAGAAGTACAGAAAGCAAAGGATCTGTAAAAATATGATGGCACCAAAGTGGGGTATTATACACCCTAGTAGAGCTCAGATGGGGGAAATATACTAGGTTAAGGAGCTACTATCAACTACCCATTTGTTGGTGGTAGGAGCATATTCCTTTTATATACATTAAAAATATTTTTAATCCCTTAATAGATCTGGATAAAAGATTAAATAAATATTGCATGAATAAAAGAGCAAATATCAAATAAACTACAAATAAAATAAACAAAATGGTCTATTCTTAAAATAGTAATAAATGAAACAATATAATCATGAGAAATAAATGTCTACATATTCAAATTCTATTGTTCTCACCAATTCGTGTGATTTTATTATGTGAAAGTTCAAGATTTTGGATATTAGTGCAGCCATCCAAACCATGAAAAGAAGTCAGTTGATTTTGATTAAGAAGAACAACACAGAGATTTTCCAGATTTTCACAATTGATGGTCTCAATATGGTTTTCCTAAAACAAAGAACAAATGTAATTAGTTTTGTTTCAGTGACTTATTAATGAAACATTTAAAGCTTGTAAAAATAGGAAGGATAAGGTATGATCCCCAAAAAAATGTGACTCAATGTTTAAAATAACTATGCAGAATGTGATGCTATCTCGATGAAAATATTAACTAAAGAAATAATTAACTAATTATGTATTGTTAATAATCTTAAAATATAGAAAATACAAGAAAACATAGAGGATTGTGTAACAAAATATTTCAAACAAAATATTCCAACAGGGTGTAGATTATGGTAGACTTAACAGTCCTCAATTAAGTGGCTATTGAAAAACTGCACATTTGGTCACAGTTCCTATAAAACTGTTACATGAGTAACAGTTTATAAAACATGGACATGAGCGCATTTTGCATGTGTGAAGGATGTGACCCATTACGAGCCAGAGGGTAGACCGTGGTAGACTGTTACTTCGGTAGCCCCTGATAAACCTCACAGGCCAATACCCACTCATCCATAGTCCCCTCCCACACAAACTCAGAGCTTAGCCCACAGACCACCAGCGGGCATGATGCCGGCGGATACTTGCTAAGCACCTGCATATTAGAGCTTGTCTTTCTGGCACACTTACTCTTGGGTTTGAGCCATCCTATAAAGAAACCCAACACAGCTGACAGAGAGAGAGATTGAAATTCCCAGCCCCCAAAGCATCAGGCATATAAAGGAAGGCATTTTTGGACATTCCAGTCCCAGCTGCAAATTACATAAGAGACCCAATCAACACAATACAAAGCAGAAGAAATGCTCAGACAAGTGAGTCTGTCTGGTCTCAGTTCATGGCCCACAAAACCATGTGCAAATAAAATGGTTGTTTTAATTTACTATGTAATGTAAACATTTGTTATGCAGCAAAAAGTAAAAATCACTACATCATCTGCTAACAGAAGAGTAGTCTCTGGGCCATACCACCAAATCATCTTCCTACGACTCTCACAAAGTTGACCCTTGAGCTCTTTAGACCCTGAATTGCAAGTTATTTTAATAAATTTTCTTCAAAATTGTGATTTCTGAAATACAAATATGAATCCATTTTACATTTTAAAATAAATAAGACATATTTTATTATAAGATAAATTTAAAAAAGAGGACACACCTGTACATCAATGTACTTCAGTTTTTTGCAGTTACTCAGGCTGTGCAAAGACATTAATCCACAGCGCCGAAGAGACAGAAACTGAAGGTTTGTACACTCTGCCAGTGTGGAGAGACTGCAACCTGGCAAATCTTGAAATGTAACTGTTGTAACCTAGACAATTTAAGAAAATTGGAGTGCATGAAATTATCTAACAATAATGAATATAGATTATCTTGGCCTTGCAAGCTGTTTTTAAAAATTCATCTAAAAAATTAATATTTTATTTGAAACACCCATTTGTTAACAACTCAATTTCACTTAAGTGGGCTTCTTGTGATCCCCACATAGAGAAATCAAAATAATGCAATCATTCATGACCAAGTCCATAAGGAATATGCATAGAATCATTAATACAATAATTTACTAGTCTCTGATTTTTCACTGAATTCCCTTTCCTTGTTTTCCATGTCTGTGGTTATTATTTTCAGGGTTGTCCTACATAAATGTTTAATATCTGAATTTGACAGTATCTTAGGAATACCTGGATAATAATAGGAGCCACAACAGTTCAGAGGATATATTTTGTGTCCCACCTGCCATGCTTCAACTAGAATGGCTCAGCTATCTTCCAAAAAAGAAGAAAGTTTGAGAAATTTTAGAACCTGCAATAAGTAGAGCCATGCAATAATAACTGAATCATGTTATACAAACAACATTCTATTACAAGTCATCTGTATTATAAATGTATGAATCATTCCTTGCTACGGACGAAAGTAATACAACCAGCGCATATAGAATCTGTAGTATAACAAACCATAAATAGTAATTTTTTCCTGCACTTTTCAAACATTTTGAAGACCATGCATTTACAACATCTCATATAATTGAAATATTACTGCGAATGCAATATTTAGTAAAGCTTTTTTTCTTGCAGAATTTTCCTATCTTTTTGGTTTTAGTCGTTTTAGCTAAAGAAAATTCCATATCAAAGAATCAATTCGACTTTATGCTACGTATATTAAGGACTACACTCAGAGTTCTAAAAGAGTATGTCAGATACAGAAATATTTTTGGATTAGTGAAAAGCTTATTAAACTCAAAAGCTCTTACCTAATTAAGATGGCAGACAAATAATGTAATCATATCTTGGCTCTTCACTATAATTGAGTTCATGCACAGAAATAACTATATAAGCTAAGTCACTTTGTAGTAAGAATACTTTCATATTTTCATATAAAAAATCCTAAGGCCAGGTTTCTCATGTACTGAACAACAATTTTAAAATTATTAGATTAATAGGAAGAGTCTAGTGTATATCATATTCAAAACAAATTTAAAAATGCTATCAAAATTGAAAGCATATTGCTCCAAAAAAAAAGCTGGAAAATGTATAAAATTCTTAAGTGCAGTAACTCCTTTTCATATGCAACATTTCTTGTGCATTAAATTAAACTAAAAGTTTTAAATTTATATATTTACGTGAGTAGGAAGACCATATGTTCATAGAGATATAAAGAAGGGATTAAGTCTACTCCCTGCTTTAAGTAGCAAAAGCAATCACTGACATTTTTAAAACTTCAGGTGAATGTTTCTAGGTTTATAATTTTTTATAAAATTTCTGAATTATTCATAATTTAACAACTTTTGAAACAAAATTCTGTTATGATTTTTCAGAAAGAAAAATTTTCATTCATTTGTGACAAGGTAACTGCTGTGTAATGCTTGTTTAATTAGCCCACAAAGAGATCCTCTAAATTCTGTCATTGGAAAATTCACTCTATACTAAAAAATGGAGACACACTATTTAAAATTGAGTACTTAAAAACTGAAAACTATGACTGCAGCTTTTTTAGTTAACAAAGCTACTCTACCTTATAGTTTATATTATTCTGCCTAATTTATTAACACGCTGCTTACAATCTGCTACATAAATTCTATTAAGTTCTAGTAGTGATGTAGCAATTTATTGAGTTTAATTTAATTACAGTACAGAAATGACATTGCTACAGTATCCTTGTTAATGGTATCTACTTTTGAATATAAGACATTTCATATTTCCTCCTACCTGTTACTGAGATTTTAAAAATTTCCTTATGATACAGCAATTTATTCTATACCCTGTTCTGGACTTTTCCAAACATACAAGATCAAAATAAATTTTTAGATTAATCATTTATTGGTACACGCAAGACAATAATCACATAAATAAAACTGCTTATGCTCCAAAAATAAAGATTGACATAGAATTCACACTTGTGTTCCTCACTGTATAATCCACCTGGAAAAAAAGAGCAAGTGGATGCTCATTAAATATTTCTTATATAAACAAATGAATAAACCACTCTAGCCCTATGGCCAAACCAAAATATATTTATAGTATTCATGGCTTGTTTTGCTTATATAGGGTAATATAAAAATAATTGAAAATTAGTATTTTGGGGCTTTCATGACTTGGAAATGAATTGTTCCTCCTAAAGAACCTATGACTCATTCATTATATTTTTAATTTAAAAACATCACAGATCAGTTTTCCTCTTAGTCATCCATATTTCCCCAAATCGTTGGCAGCCTGGGGTACATAAAATGACTTGAAGCAGCTTTTTGTACTTAAGAGAGTTCGTTCAGTTGTTCTTGGTTCAACACAGTGAGTGTAAGACATCCATAGGAAACCATAAGTACAAAAGTAAGGAAAGTAATGCCTGTATGTTTTGCTTTTCACAGAACATCCGTTCAGTGCCAGAACCTCAAATCTATTGAACCTGGAGAAACAATATTGTTTAAAAACTCAGCTGCAAAGAGATTAAATCCAAGGTAAGATTAGTAACTTATATGAAATAAAATCTAATTTTTAGTATTTCATGCACCGTTACAGCACCAACATATTACAATTTGCTTTTTATAAGGGATGTGAGACGTTCTGATTTAAGTTAATCAGAAGCTAAAATGTTATCCTGCCATGTTATAAACTTAGCATTCTTTTCTGTGGTTGTTAGTTAAAGCACGTTGTCATTAGCAGCAAAATATCAAATAAAGATAAATGAATTAGTTAAAACACTAAAAGCAGGAAAAATAAAAATACATTAGTTGCCAATAATCATTGCTCTTCAGTCATATCCTTTAGGTATCTCACTGTGGGTGGTCCAGCATTTTCAACTTTGAATTTCTTTGGTGAAACATACTATGAAGCAGCCCTCAAAAATCCAATTGCCTTTCTCTTCAGATGCTTAGAACCATGTTTGAAAATGATTATTATGTATTTTAGAAATCATGGGTTATGTTGCTCATATATGGTATATTAAAATCCATTAATCCTATAAAATAGGTATTGCTCTTCCCAGTTTATAGGAGACAAAAACTAAGGTTCAGAAAGTTTAAGCACCTTGCAAAAGGTGCCACAGTCAGTATATGGCATAAATAAAATTAGATTCTGGATCTTACTTAATAACAAGGTTTGATAGTACTTTATGAAATCATGCTCAAATAATTTTACATCAATTTCCTTTTTAGTCAATACACTCTTTCTAAATTGTAAATTTTGAGATAAGATTAACACTCAGTGGAACTTATTTATCCATCCTCCCACTCATCAATCCCACAGTTAAGTAATGAAAGCCACTATTTGTCTGGCAATACATAAAGCGGCATAAACGGACAAGAGGCAGCCCTGATTTGTGTCTTTCAGGCTCAAAGTGAGAGATTAATATAAGCAAAATGAACTCATTACTTGGTGAAATTCTAGAAGAGCAAACTTTTTTTCTTCTGAAGATCCTCTCCAGAAGGACCTTTCAAGGATAGTATTGGGTGATCAAGATAAGGAAACAGATGTGAAGCTAAGAGATTAGGAAACCAGAGTAAGAAAGTGAGTCGTGGGTCGGTAGCAACAGTGAATGAAGACAGTACAATAAGCCATCTGCCAGAGTCATTACAATATGACATTCTATGACGGTTCAACATTTATATGGCACTTCACATATATTTTTCTTCCTTTTACTATATATTTGATGCTTCAAAGTAAAATTAAGTGCTTGAAATAGTTTCTTGGAATAGTGGTCTGAGGAGTACAGTGTCCTTTAGAACACTGCTACTCAAATGAGTCCATGGACCAGAACCAGTAGAACCACCTGGGGCACTGCAAAAATGCAGGACTTTGGGGTGATCACCAGATCCCCTCAGTTCTCAGTTCTCTTTGCGTTGGACAAAACACAGACCACCAATGAAAGAGTAGAGCGCTACTATCTCTAACTTTAGTTTTACTTTTTCAGTTTTCACTGTAGGCATGAAACTGTCACTCATGCCTAACCCAGACAGGTATTCGTTAAGGACAATTACCTTACATAATGTAGTGGCTAATGACATCAATTCAGACAGCCTGCATCAACATCTTTGGGAAAACAGAAAAAGAATGTTTCCAGAGATAATGTAGCCAAAGGGGAGGGAAAAAAAGTAATACAAGAACTAATGAGAGATTCTATATATATAGTTCTCTAGATCTCATGGATATGGCAAATACATTGCCTAGGAAATAGACGAACTTCAAATTAGTTCTTGTTCCTTATACTGCTCTTTCATATCCCAGAGATCTCCTGAAACCCCACCACTTATTATCATCTCCGTAGAATATTCTGAAATCATATTTACAGCAATTATCAAGATCTGCAGTCACGTATTTATTTGTGTATTTATGTGTTTAATACCTTTTTGTCCACCAAAGTCACTCCACGAGGGCAAGGACTGAGGTTTGCTTTTGTCTTTTTAGTCCAACAATAAATACTGATCAATCATTTGGATAGATGAATATTTGGTGAGTGAATGTATAAAATAAGTGTATATATGTTAATACAAATGTTTTCTTTCTTAGGTCTCTGTCTCTACCAAAAATCTAAGTAAATTTTATTGGCTATCACATCTGACATTAAGGTCCCAGATAAATTTATATATTTTGATCATAAGGTCCTTTCTAATATTACCATATTTCAGTTTTTACTATTTTTCTATACATTTGTTAGTTTCTCTCTCAATTTTGGTTGAAAATGTTCTATAAACATTGATAATTAGTAGCACTTAGTGACAATTATTTTAGATTTCAGGCATATATGCACCATGCTTATATAGCACAGGACTAAATAATTACGTTTCTATACAGACATTCTACAGTCATCTATTGTAAGCCCTTCTTTCCCAGCACACAAGTATAGAGCAATCTACTTCATCCCCAAAGGAGCCACTAGGTGGTGCTGTGCCCAAGCCAAAGGGACACTTCCCATTGAACACCAAGTTAATAGTTTTCCTATTCTAATTCAACCCTAAATTCCTAGATGCCTCCACTCATCGAAGCTTGATAATGACTAGCGGCAGGTGCTTAAACAGTCTTCAAGACAGAAATCAAATCTTTGTACGGTGCTTCACTGAGGGAGAAGATCCCCTGAATAATTTTAACAGGTCTTTAAAATACATCCCCCCTGAAATGGGGCAGTATTTCATCAGCAACTTCACCAATTAAGAGACAAAAGTCTTGGATACAAAACATGCCTTCTACTCATATTTTTAAAGTAACATTTTAGAGAACCAATTGCAATTCAATATGAAAAAGTGCTATAAAATTATAAAATACCTGCTGTAAAGAATCCCAAGGGCCACCCTGAAGAATTTCTAATGTATTCAAAGGGGGCATCGTGTTCGCTGGGCATTTTACAGGTCTCTTTCTTTTAACAACTTTCTTCTGATGATTTTGATTGAAAATTTCAAACCAAGGTTTAAATGATTTTATCCAAGCTAGCCTCTTCTCTTCTATAGAAGACACAAGTGATAGCTCTGGTAAAGAGCCGGCCACAGCACTGTCACTTTCAGCTCCATTTCCATGACATTCTTCTGGAATTTCTGTAATCTGAGACTTAAGAGAGTTTACTTCTTTAAAAACTGAGGAGTTCTTTGCATTACAGCCACCTAAGTCTTCACGACGAGCATTTCCATCTGAAGTAAAATCTTGGGTGTTTATTTTGCCTTCTGCATTTATCATGGCATCACTGCTGTTAAAAATTATATCACTATTGCCTTTTGGATTCTCCTCAGTTTCTTTGGATTTTAAATCAATTCTGTTGTCTTGTAGTAGTACATTTCCCCCTGTATCTTCAAAATTTTCTGATTTTAGTGTTAGTAGTTTCTGTTTCATTGAAATCACTGAAATATCACTCTCTTCACACAATGTTCCATTCTGTTCGGATATCTCTTCTCTCTCTACTTTTTGTATCTTATCCTGATGACTATCTTTGATTATTTTCTGTGCTTCATTGTTTTTCACCACATTAATTTCTTGATTATGTCCTAATATTATTACTTGGGTTTCTTGTGTCATATTCTCATTGAAGGCAGGCTTCACATTTTCCTCTTTTTGTATTAGAGACTTTAATTCTTGCAGCTGAAACTGTTCTTTCACATTCTCTTTTAGATCGGGGTTTCCCAGTTTAGTCTTGTCTATATTTTCATATTTTCTTGCTTGCTTGACCACTTTTTCTGAACATTGTTGTCTCGTTAGGTGTTCGATTTTTCCTTCCATTTTAAATGCTGCCAAAATTTCTTGGTTTGAAGCAGATTCTTTTAATTGCACTTGTATTGATTCTTTCAATGTAAGACATCTATTTACATTTTCTCTCTTATTCAATTCTTCAAATAGCCAAAGGGGAACATCTTCCCACATCTTTGAAGTTTTATCCCTTAGCTTTTTGGCTATATCACCCTTATTCTCAGATGTGCCTTCAACAGCTAAATGTTTAGCAGTATATTCCCTGTTCTTTGATGTTCTACTTATTATTAGCTGTTTGCTTGCATCTTCTCTTAATTTTTCTTTGATTAGTAGTTGCTCTTTTTCTTTTCTCAGGATGCTCTTTTTTTCTTCATATTCTTTTTCTCTCCTTTTCCTTTCCTCTTGCTTTTGCTTTTTAATCTCTTCTTCTAGCCTTTGCTTTTCTTCAAATCTTTTTCGGTTTTCTTCTTCTATATGTCGTATTTTTGCTTCTTTTTCTTTCCACTCTTGTGCTTTCCTTTTTTTACTTTCTATTTGTTCTTTTATGATTGGGCCATACTTTCGGTAGACCACAAGTGCTTTATATTTAGCTTGAATTTTTACAGCTGCATTATGCTGCAGTTCTAACAAACGCATCTTTTCTTGTTCCTGTAGGTCTTTAAATCTGGTTCTTTCTTCTTCCATTTGTAAATGCAAGTTTCTGATAAACTCCTAAAGTAAAGTAACATAAAGTAAGCATAAACTAAATGTGTGATGTTATTAAAATATCATCAATACAGATTGAAAACAAGTGTAAAACTGAATAATGCAGTTACTATAAAATTCACTTCAAAGAACTAAAGTCATTTATTTTAAAGTGTATTAATTTTTTAAGTACTGAGGAATTTCAATCAAGTTAGTAAGTTGATACTCTGATATTATGTCTATACTAAGCCACTCAAACATTAGGAATTCTTTGAAGATGGATAGAAAGCATATGAAATCAGAATGACAGAGAAAATGTAAGAGAAACCACAAGCTGAAAGTTGTGTAGGAGAAAAGAACTGTCAGTCAGTCTTTCTGAGACGGGAGTTCTGGTGAAGGAGACTCCCAGGGCTACAACAGAGACTGCAGAGGCAGGGACTTACTCTGTGACACTAATACCAGGAAGGCGGGGTAGGACACACACGTAAGCAATATGAAGAACTAGCCTAGTCACACACCTTATTCTTTCTCAACTATTAAGAAAGTTTGAGATCGTTTGGATAAGGGAAGAAAATATCATTAATGCTAGACTCCTCAAACAAAAGTAAACAGATCAACAAAATTCAGCAAATATTTGAGGAAAACTAGCAACACTGATGGGAGGCAATGAAAATATTGAAGTTAACAGAAAGAAGAGCCAATTTCTAAGAATTAACAGCTATTAAACTAAATAAAAATTTAAACAATTAAAAGCATATTAAAGAAAAACATTTAAATAAGAATAACCCCATATAAAAATGAAATGCAAGTACTCAAAAAAGGACTCACTTAAACAAAAAAATCAAAATATAATTAGTGCTAAACAGCTAATTTCTTGAAGAAAAACTTCAAAATCAGGTGTTTTCCCAAAACAACATATAAAATAACAAAACGTGAAATATATGACATAGATATTCAGGTGTAAAGAGATCAACACAAAAACCTCACTTGACTAGGGGAAAGTACAGATAAAGAACTGAGAAAAATTGAAGGGAAGAGAATAATAGAAAAATATCATTTAAACTAAAAATATTTTGACTTCTCTCTCGTTTGCACACACACACATACACACATGAAACACTAGATTCTAGCAATATTCAGAACCCTGATGAATGTAACCTCCCTGAAGGCACGGATTATTTTCTATTTTGTTCACTGCTGTATTTTGAACACTTAGAGAAGTGACTGACATACAAGAGAAAGCCAATAAATATGTATAGATACGTGTAAAAATTGAAAAATCCTAAAGTTTCAAAAGGATATAAGATATGAGTATCTAATTTGCAATCATAGCAGAGGCAAAAATAAGTAAATATGCAATGGAGTTGTACTTTTAAATTGCTAAAACTACATGATAATAAATCTGGATTCTATACCTAAGGAAATATCATTCAATTTTAAAAGCAAAGTAAAAATATTTTCAAGTGCAAAGGCTGAGAAAATCTGCCCTCCAAAAATGTTTTTTGCGAAGTATCTAGGTAGGTATTCCAAGAAGGAAAACCAAGTCCAGAAGGCAAGGGAAAACTCAGGACTCAAAAACACTAATCATCAAAGAAACTGTTAATACTTAGCACTTAAATTGTTTTGTTCTAGAGCCTTCTTCCTTCCAGCCCTTCACGTAAGAGGCTAAGCTATTAGCTCACTCTTGCTTCTTTTCAGGTAATGTGCCTTCTTTCTTTGGCTGCTTTTAAGACTTTTTCCCCGTTGTCTCGAATTTCAGTAGTTACTGAATTCGAATTCCCAGGTGTGATATTCTCTGTATTGATTCGATGCTTTTGCTCCATTCTCCCTTCCTTCCAAGATTACTATTATATACAGTGTTTATCGTTACACTATATGTCACATATTTTTTAGCTCTTTTCTTCTTTTCCTTTTTTTTTGTCCTCTTTGTGCTTTAATTTGGATATTTTATATGGACCTCACTTCAGTTTTACTAATGCTTCTCAAATGTGTTGTCAAACCTATCCACCAAATTTTTTATTTTATATACTGACCTTTTCAACTCTGAAGTGTACACTTGATACTTCATTATAGATTCTAATTCTCTTTTCATATTGCCTATCTTTTCAACTATTTTGCTACTGCGTGATAGTTACAGGTATTTTAATGGCTCTCCTAACCCCAACATTTGGGTTACTCACAGGTGAGTTACTGTTGTCTTTTTTTTGCCTTGCCGTTCATATGAAACAGTCTCTTCACATGCCTACCCAACTTTTTTATTTAAAGATGGACAGTAGAGACAATATTGCAATATATATCTCTATCAAGTCAACATAGTGACATAGTGTTACATGTCAAATATATTTTTTATAAAATGGACAGTTGGAAATCTACTTGGTGACCAAAAAGAAAAATGTACATTTTAAGGAGTGTTTTTGTATAAATAAAGAAAAGACTCAAAGGAAAGATATTGCAAAGAAAGGTAATATATTTGGCTGGGTAGCAGAATTATGTGAATTTTATCTATTTTATGCTTGTAATTGAAATAGTTTTATATAAAAACTATAGGGTACATAAAAGTTAAAACAATAAAAATGTCATCAGAATCATCTTAAATTCAAAGGGGTTATTTAACACATTTAATTAACTGTATTCAAGAAATGCAGTAACCTTTCATAACTACCTTCAATCATAATGAAATGTTTATAATTATATGCTTCCTCAAATCTTTAAAGAAATTTTAGAATTACTCTAAAAAAGAAATTTTAGAATTACTACTTTATACAGACATATTCACTCACTGATCCAGTTTATTTTCATTTTTAGGACATTCCATTGCAAGGAAAGTTTCTGATGATTAATGAATTTCAAAAGCTCTTATAAATTAAATCCCATAACAGCAGCATAAAATGTCCATTTTAAGCAGAGTAATTTATTTCTAATGAAGAATGATTATTGCATTGATTGAAAACAACAAATAGATACCTCATGCTGTTTAAACTTCTCTTTCCACATTTTCTCTTCTTTATGGAGTTCATCATTCATCTTGTCCTGTTCTTGCTGAACATAAATAACAGTGAAATATTATATCCAAGTATCAAAGAATTTAATGTCATTATATATGATTCTCACAAGATATGTTTATAAACAATGATTAAAAATAACAACTTGCCCAATGCTTCTTGGTTTTAGTACTGGGATAACAACTTCAATTTTAACCTAAAGTATCATTTAAATAACACCTATCGTACACCCATTTCAAGTACATCAAGATGTTTGTAACCTGAGAAAGTTGTTTTATTTATTTAAGTATGTTTATTCAAATAATAAAATGCATTGGCTATCAATACTGTTTGGCAATGCAAAAATTACAAATAATGTCTTTGCAAGGTGAGTTTCGCATTACAACTTTTCTTTCCACACCATCCCAAAATAAATCAGTTTAGTGGGTAATGATATTCTTTTAATTACTCTTTACTCAGCACCTATTTTGTTCAGGCTCTGCAGAATAAGCAAAGATCAGGAAAATATAATCCCCTTCCTCTAAAACTTTACCTTTAATATGGGAACACTATCATAAGCTCACACATTACCCCAAATTTAGCAGAATAAATTTATCACAAGAAAGGCTATAAAAGATCACAGTAGAACTAGATGTTATAACTAGAAAATCAAAAAAGGTATCATGCCAAAGATTGTATTTGAAATGACTAGGCTTTCAAAAGGTTTAACAGACATTTTAGGCATTTACTAAATATTTTTTAACTCGAAAGATAATAACATTAATTTTTTAAGAAAAATCATAAAGTTATGTTTGATAAAGTTAGAGACAGAAAGCCAAGGAGTGAGGTAGGTATTAGAGAGGTCCATGCGAAATCAACCAGGACCTTCTGTAGGTAGGATGGCAGGAGTGAGAACAGATACAAAGACAAGGTAAACATGAAATTGCCACAAACTGAAATTGCCAGTTGACCATATACAAAGGACATGGGAAAATTTCTTTGGACATTATCATATATGAGCTGTGGGACCTTTTGATGGGGTTTAAGCAGAGTAATAATAACTTTTTTAAAAAGTTAATATCTTTCTGAGAGCACTATGGTTGATGATTTTGCAGAATACAAGACCAAAAACAGGGAGATCAGTTAGAGAAAACAGTAAATATTCCAAGCTAGTTATTAGGATACCCTGAACTATGGAGTAGTGGTAAATACATGGTTGAGAAGATAGATAATATAACTGTTAGAGGGAAGAGGATAATAAAAGAGAGGGAAGAGTAAAAAATGGTCCTTATCTTTTTGTTTTGGACTATGATAATAGTGTGGCTCATCAAAATAAAGAATACCAGGGGGGAGCCTGACTCAGAGAGAAAGATAAGGCATTCAGTTTTAGAATTACATGTTCTGAGTGTGAATTATCTGTTCAAGAGTTATGTAGTTCACTTTTTTGTTATAAATACAGATTTGATTCTGAATAGCCATGGCTGCAGATGAGATTACTGAGAAAGAAAGTATATGGAATATGAAAAATAAGGACCAAAGAGGTCCTTGGTAGTACCACATTCAAGGAGAGAGGGAAAAAACAAGCCTAAAATGGTTATCAAAGAGCAATTTCCAAACATGTAAGAAGAGAATCAAGGCAGTGCCATACAAGTCGAAGGAAAAAGAAATGGTCAACAATCAAATTTTCACTGGCATAAAATGCTAGAGACCAAAATAAGAACTGAAAAAGAACCTGTGAGTATAGTAACTTAGAAGTCATTGGTTATTCTCTTCAAGGGCAGTTTCATTCAGTGGGGTGGTGGTGGTAGAAATCTAGCAGGTTTAGGAATGAACAACAGAGAAGGACATGGATTTAGCAAAAATAACTATTCTTCAAGAAGCCTTACTACGCTAAGCAGAGCTAAAGAGCAGCTAACATGAGACATATGAGCAAAGGTGAGCTCATGATTTTTGTTTTGTTTCTAGGAGATACATGAACATGCTTATGAATAATAAGAAAGGAGGAAGTTGATAGGGATGTTTTAAACTATAGGAAAAAGCAGGAGCAAAGTGGAAAATGACAGAATACAGAGCAGAAGTGGAAAAGTTAACCTGTGGGAGAAGAAACCTTTCTTACTGAGATTGGAGTGAATGCAAAAAAAAAAAAGGGCCGATGTAGAGGTTGATGCTAACTAGATACAGGATTAGAGAAGAGAGGAAGTTGTAATTGATGCAAAAATGTTATGTGACCATTTAGTAATAATGAGGAAGGAGGAGTTGGGGAGAATTCTTAAGGAAAGGGATTTATAATAGCTGCTTTGGGGAATAGGAAACGAATAAAGGACACAAAAAAGAATTAACAAAATAAGTAAGTTACATCTTTAGGATTCATTGTTGTAAAATTATGTGATGGTCTCACTGGAAAACTTTTAAGCCCCAAGGTAAAACAAAGCACACATTAAGGGATTCATGAAAGCTACTGGTATAAATAAATTAAAAAATAATAAATCGGTATAAGTATATATTTAAAATCAAAGTTTTATGATAAAGCACAAATTACTTTCAAAAAGTAAGTCACAATTTTTTCAGGGTAGAGCCCAGGTGTTAGATTTCCTTTGCATGTCTAAGCACATAGCTGAATGCTTTGCCATGGAGGAGGTAAATAAATATTTGTTATAATCCAAATAAAAATTACAAATTAGACAAACAGGATTTAAAAATCGTATGTTTCCTAAATTTGAAAATAACACTAATAATAACAATGATGCCTTTCAGTGCAAGACAGAAAACACTGCTCCAAAAGTCTATATTATAGTCAATCTGTCCTGGAATTTTAAAAAGGCTTCTGACTTTGGGAAATGACCACATTAATCTGGTCTGTGGGAAGGAAAATATAATTAAGAGAATGCTGAAGATTCATAGTTTACTACTGATTCTACAATATTAGAATTTCATTTAATTTACTTATTTTCTATATAATCAGGAAATGCAATATACTCAACATGGAGGGCTAGAATCCCCTGAACTACTTAGGTGACCACAAGTTAATGTTCTTTATATGGAATACTCAAAAACTAGTTAAGTTGTGGTTAATATATAAATCACCTTTAGTAGTGTAAGAGAGAGACGTCAGCTTTGCCTTTTATCCACACATTCTAAGGATTCGGATCACCCACAAGTAGGGCCCTAAAAATCCACCAGTTTCACCATATGCCACTACCATGACCTGAGGGTATGGGCCTCTTGGAACGGGCTTGAGAGGAAACAAATAAAAACAACACAAAATTCCTTCACACAAATGAATTTCTAGTGATAGAGAAGCAAGGGTAGACCATCAGCTGCAGTCCAACCACTTCGACCAAATATGTTTCACCTAATTGCTGTAAGTACACCACAGAGCAGAAACACTGCATGATAAAGAAAATTCTGTGGCTTTTTTCTATGATTAGAAGGGTATAAAAAAGCAACCGTTTAAGCTGTGAATATCAGCCTTTCAAAGACAGTCTTTAAAACTTCATAGACTTCAGAGGCCACCAAGACCCAAAGCAGTATTCAAAAAATGTATGAAAAACAAAAGCAAAAATAAGAAATGTTACCTTCTGAATATTCTCCAATTTCTTCTTTTCAATTTCAAATTGTTTTATCCAGCAATGTCTCTTTTCTTCTTCTTCTTGAAATTGTTTTTCTTCTCTATCCCTCTGAGCTTTGAGAGTTTCTTTCTCTTGGTCTTCTAGTTCTTTCTGTTTGTCTTGCCAAGCCTCAAAGGACTTCCTACATCTTTCTTCCACTTCACAGTATCCAAAATTTATATCAGCATCATCTGTATTCATGATGAGAGATATTATTCTTAAAATTAAACCTGTCAAAACTGATCCAATGTAAAGTACAAAAGTAATTTTGTGGTGAAGAAATAATGTAAACATATTACCAAAATAAAAGTGATAATATGCAAAAAGAAAATACATTCTTAAATGTACATGGAAATTCTGTCACATGGAAATCCCATTGAAGTCAATATAGAAATCACATAAGTAGCCTTGAACTGTTCCACAGAATTGAATATGAAAATACCAGGTGTATGTGTGCACGTGTGTGTAGCTAAGGGATACTTAAGGAACACAGTTAAGGGATACTTACTAATTCAAGGCTGGGTAGAGCTACTGCAATCAGCTATATATGTGGAAAATTTTTAATATATTTAAATCAGGTTAACTTATGAGGCACAAAGAAAACTATGAGAAAATGTAATTAAATAAGTACAGTAAAGATATGGCACTTTTCAGATATCATGATTGTAATTTTCTAAATGTCATAAGAAAACTAAATTTTTTTTCAGGTAACTGGTCAATCACATAAAAATTATCTAAAGTATCATTGAGCAGTTTTGGCTGACCTGGTAAAGCATGTTCATCCCCAGGCACATAGAGAGGACCCGGCTCAGGAACAGAACAGGAACTGCCACAGTGGGTTTTACTTCTTAGAAATTCTTCCTTTTCTATTTCAGATAACATCTACGAGGTTAAAAGAGTTCCAATGATTAAAGAAAACCAAAATAGAGAATAAAGCTATAATTTTAATTATATATTAAGTAAGTATGTACATATACCTAGAACTTTATGTACTTGAAATCTCTCTTAAATACGATTCTGTAGCCTAATATTAACAATTATTCTCGTTATGGTGAATAAAAGTGTTTTTGCCCATGCAAGCAGACTATATTTTACCCTTAAGCGTTTCTGAATCCTAATCACTAATATTTATATACTTACTATATTCAATTAAGCTACTTTAAAATCATTTCAAAATGTTTCCACTAATGTTTGTGTTCCTCCTAATACATTTCTGTATTTCTTACCTGCAGTGATTGTTCACATACACAAACTGCTAATGTGTTAAATGTTTAAAAAACAGAACTAATCTCTACTTTAACCTAAATTCTGCACAAGTCATAATTTTGATTAATACTTTTTCATAATTAGACTTCTACCATACTCTAGTTGGAAAGATATAGGATATTTATTACAATAAAGTAGAAGTTTAAAATTCAAAACTAGTATTTCAAGATTCAGTGCCATCAAAAAAGAAAGTAAGATACATACATATAAGTCATTTTCAAAAGATGTTAAACATGTTAGAGAACAAGAATAGAGGAAAGTAAAATTAGAGAGAGTTAGATAAAATAAGGAGTAAAACTGAGTCCAAGATGCTGAACCTATACGAGAGACTTTCTCATAAACACGTTTCTGGAAATTTTAATAAAAAATGCTAGGCTTTCCTTTACTTCTCTTTAGGAATCTTTTATTCTTTTTTAAAACCACTAACATAAGGTGTTCTCCATTTAAAGTTTCCATACAGTATTTAACGTATTTTCTGAAATACAGCAAATTCCTAAGCAACGTAATAAACATTAAAGTATATTCATTGTTTTTCCTGGAGTTTTTAGGATAAAATACCATGCAATTCAGTTCTACTGTTGTATCTACATTCACATTACCTTCCCAAGTATTAATGGTTCATATCAGTATTTTTATATTTTTAAAGATTGACATTTGAGTCGTTTTATATTTTACATTCCAAAGGAAAACGTAAAACCAAAAATTACGCTTAAAAATTTTTTTTTAACTTTTTAAATCAGTGAACTCTTATCCTACAAAAGATGGAAAGGTAATTGTAATATAAGCACTTTCAGTCAAATGTTGAACATATACCTTCATTAACTGCTTTGGATTTTCTTTACATTCAGTTGATAATTCTATCCTTAAATGAATATGATTATTAGACACTGCTCCATAACTGTTACCTAAGGAAAAAATACATAGAACTTCAAATATTGGAGCAGGGCACAGCATATTAAAATCCCAAACCCTATCATTATCTTTTCTATCACAGTATATTCCTCAAATTCTATCACAGTATATTCCTGATCAGTAAATCATAACAGAAAAATAATGAAGACTAAAGAACAGAAAATCTGTCATCTTTCTTCCAAAAATAAAAGTAACATTTTAAAAACACTATCACTTTCAGATTCTAGATTGAAGTTTATTTTCCATCCACAGAGAATAGTGCTGGGTTTGATATTGCAATGACACCTTACTCAGAAATCAGCAAAGATTTAATTCCTGTCACAAACTAGTAATACCATCTTGCACACAATATTGAAAACACTTCAATAAATGTATCAGTTTAAAAGATCACTAACATGTGAATGACACGAGCTTTCATTCTGATTTTTAAGTTTGTGTTGAATTTCATTGTTTTTTTATCATCCGTGCAGATGTAGTTATTCTTCCTTATTGAGTGATCTCTATTTATGGTAATGTTATATCAGGGTAATATTGCCTAACAGGAAACTCTGTTGTACAGGTGACCATTCTGCTGGTTGACTATTCAAAACTATTTGCCAGATATTAAAAATGTTCTTCTTCAACACCTATTCACAACCTCTCTGGCATGCTTTCTTATGTGAGAGGCTAAGAAGCAAAAAGAAACATTCCCCAGATTCCTTTGAAGGTAGGTGGCTGAGGCTGATTTATGTTCTGCCAATTGATAAATGCATGCAAATACTTTAATGAAAATGTTATGTGTGAAGAAAGGCAGGGAGCAATTTGTAAGAGTCCAGTATGATCTGACCTCTTGTTTCCTTGGAAGCAACCAGAAAGTCTTACTGTTCTTCAAACATAAAAGCCCACTCAAGGGATGCCTTGGTCTTTACAGTCCCTCTTTCTGGAACACTGGCTCTAGATATCCATTCTCATTCATTGAGAACTCCATGTGGCTTCTCAGTCATTAAATATCACCTCCTCGGAGAGGCCTTCTCTGACTTACCCTATCTAAAACAGCAACTTCCAATCCCTATCACCTTATTTTGAAATTTTTCCTTCACAGAAGTCATCATTATTGAAAAATTACATATGTATTTGTTTATTGTCTATCTCATCACACTGGAACATTAGGAGAGCATAACCTTGGCCTATTTTGTTCTCTACTGTATTCTCAGTAACTAGAACAGATCCTTTCACACAGTAATATTTGTTGAATGAATTTCTATGAACATCCACATTATAATTTATACTCGTTTGCATAGATAGCAGTGACATGTATAATTTTTTAATAATATGTCATGAGCATTTGTATGCCATTAAATATCAAGTCATCTTTTTTTAATGGGTGTATTGTTGGACACACCAACACCTTGCTGAACATAGACATAAAGGTTATTGCCATTTTTCATTATGAACCAAGCTGTGATTAATTCTAGGAAAATCTTTGATCATTCTATTATTTTTGGAATAATTTCAAGAAGTAAATCTACTCAGTTGAAATAAAGATTGTTAGGCTTTTGATATAAATTATATTTTTCTCCAAAGAAATGTATAGACTGATACTGCTAAAATATTAATGTGATTAGTTTTCTTTTCCTTAATGTGAAGTAATAGAATGCCAGGGATTAATTAGGACTGTTAAAATAAACTGGTGGCAGCTAGCATTTACTGGAGATATAAGGGAGGTAGCAGGGAAAACAAATAAATGAACTAAATTTAACAGTCCACTATTCTACAGATATTATTTAAGAGATAAATGCACATATGTATATGAGACAAGAACTTCAGGCAGTTTTTCTTAATTATATGTATTATTTATACTTTCAGAAAACTTATGTGCAAGCAGATGAAAACTGTACATACTTAAAACATCAGTGTCTTCCAAGTCCTGAAGTATAAGCTCTTCAACAGTTTTACTCTTGTTCTTTATGATGTTAATACAGTGAAGAACAGACTCAGGTAATTCATCCAAATCCTAAAAATGTGAATAATGAAAGAAACTTATGAAGTTGTTTATTAAAATTATGCATTAGAAATTCCGATATACCAAAAATTTGAGCAAATAAATGAGATAAAAGTTCTTCATATAAAGAGCATAGTCCAAAGAAATACATTTAGTTAAAATTTGCTTTTCATAGTCAGATGGTTATGAATTACATCCATGATCCTGTTTGATTTCATGTTCAAATGAAGAATTTCATAATTCTTTTTCTCACTTAAGTTAGCTGAGGATAAAAAGACAATAATGTAAAAATATTAATTTTCTAAAAGTAATATATAGGTTATAATTACAACCATAATTAAAAATCAAAATGTAATTATATTTTGAAACTTGACATATGAGTTTTTTACAAGAAAAAGCATAGCTGAGAAGATTTTGAAATAGCTTAACAACTAAAGGAATTTGATCCATTTGATATTTAAAAATATAAAACTTCAATAGGGCAAAATAATGGAAAAGGATAGAGACTTGATTATCTGTAAAGCTAAATATATACAAAAGATGTGACAAATCAGTTGAGAAGAGGTGAATTATTCAACAAGTGACAGTGGGAATGTTAGCTAAAAATTTTAAGGAAAACTTCGAAGTAGATCTTTATTTTAACATACCTGAAAATAAATTCCACTGGATTAAGGATTTCGATGTAAAAGAATGAATCCATGAATAAATTTTCTAAGCATATAAACATTGGGGAAAATACACAAATGAAAAGATAGTGCTTCATTTCCAAAGTAATAACTAATTCTATAGGTCTAAAATTTTCACGTAAATTTTGCTTTTCATGTATGTCTAATCATATTAGAATGCTCATGACTAAGGAAAAAGAAAGCAGGGTATAAATATATATGTGTAATACATTATTATATGAACAGTATAATCCCAATTTTGCAAAAAATGTGTATACATGTGAAATTATAGGTGATTTCTATCTTAAACATACTTTCTATATTTAGTATTTATCATATACATTGTCTAAAGGTGATCTTAAGGTAAAAGAAAAATGAGATAAGTATACAAAATCCACTGAGAAAAGTAGTATTTTTCCTGAAAAGTTTACTTCAGTTAAAAGGCTCGAAAGTCCAACACTTAACACTTACTGTATCACTATCATCGGTCAGAATTTCTGATTTTGAGTCACTATCAACATCCTCTTTGTCCAGGGAAGTAATGCTGATTCTATCCAATTCAGCTTCTATTTCTTTCTTGAGGTTTGTATCATCATCATCTTCCATCATCCTTCATAATGGAATGCATATCGTTTAAAGAAAATTTAAGAGACTAACATGCAAGTCAGAACTGTGTTTTCTTAAGGTGTCATACCAATCCAATATGTTCTATGTAAACACGTTTTAGTCTGACAAACTTCTATCACACTGTAATATGGCTGTACCCTATATGAAAGAACATTGTTTTCTCTCTCCATTCATTCATTATTTCCGTAGTGTTTGAATACAAAATGGCCAACTCTAATGCTACTCTTTTAATTCTCTAAGGGAAAAGTTACATTGAATGGACTGGCTTACCATCTTGAACCAAGAAACTTCCCAGTAAAATTCATCTTCATGGGAATAATTGATGACAAAATAATACCCTTGAACAGCTTGAATATTCATATTAAAATACTCGTAAGAGAACAACCTAAGTCTATATAGGCTGGTTTCTACTCAATGCTTCAGAGTTGTTCATTTTACCAGAGACAGCCACATTTTTACCAACAACATGTAATAATGGATAATATGTGGCTTATAAATCAATATTTAACTCATTTAGATATTTAATGCTTGTAATGGATATGGGTCAAGCAGCACATTACAATATATCTTCACATAATCATTATCATTGTCAACCACCATCATTAGCTTCCATGTATTGAGTACTTATGACAAGGCAGGCATTAGAAGACACTGTGCAATTGATAATCTTCAGAGTTATTTAACAGGTTAAAGATCATTATGGTTATTGTGGAGATGAGAAAGCCAAAGTTTGAAGAGTCCACCTAACTTCCCATAGTTATGATACTAATAAATAAAGGAGATAGGATCCTAATACAGAATTCCTGAATCCAAAATCCGTGCTCTTCCCACTAGCCAATGGTCTCCAAACTCAGTAAAGCTCTTCATCTGTCCAACAACCCTTCTGCACACCCCCTGGTCCACTAGTTTTCAAATTGCAGAGGATAACCCATTAGAGTATCCAAAAATTAACTCAGTGGTTCTTGATCACCAAATTTTAATGATAGGATAGGAGAGGATGAGTTAGAACAGGTCAGAAAAGAAACAATTAAGTTCAATAAGGATTTTGTTTAAAGAAACTTTTGTTTCAATTTTTCTACGTGTATTTTACTGTGGGTCTTGGTTTAAAGAAGAGTTTGAAAAATACTGTACTAGTGAGCTATTATTTTACTTCCCAGCCTATTTCAAACTTACATTCTTTCCTCATGTCCCTGGCCTTTCCACTACTCTCACCTTCTTGGCCCTTCCTTCCTTCCTCCTCAATTCTCTCCCTTCCTCTTTCTTTTCCATGTTTTACTTCAATATTCATTTCAAAATTAACCACATTGCATTCATAGCATGCTAGGTGCTACACTAATTAAATAAAACAAATAATTTGTTTTTATAGATTTTATCTTGTTAACAAAGAAAATGAAACACCTTCATTCTCCTATTTTTTTTCCTGAAATGTCTTCTTATTCATCTTAGGAGCCCCTCTTCCTAATAAAATATAATGCTCTACCTAGGCTTCAAATCTGACGATTTCTCACCTACTGAATTTCATCCACTATTCCTTGTTTACTGCCTTGCTATGTTTTATTCCACTGCCCCTGCTCTCCACATAAACACAATCAATTCACTCTTGTCCAAAAAAACAATACCTTTCCCTGCCTTTCCTCTAGCTATAGGTATCGCATGTATTTCTTTCACACACAAATGATTTAATTGGATTGATCTTCATGAATTGCCTACACTCTTGGACATTTATTCTAGAGAAATTAAAATTTATGTTCACACCAAAGTTTGTACATGAATGTTCACAACAGTTTTATTCATAATAGTCCCAAACTGGAAACAATCAAAGTGTTCCTCAATAGGTGAATGGTTAGACCAACTCAAGTACATCCATACCATGGAATACTTACTACTCAGCAATCAAAGGAATGAACTACTGATGCATATCACAATACCAACGAATCTCTATGAGTCTACAGGGAACTATGCTGAGTTAAAAGCTCAAACCAAAGGGTAACATACCCTATGATTCCATACATATAATATTTTGAAATGACAACATTTTATAAATGAAGGACAGATAAGTGACTGTCAGAACTTGCAGGTAGATGGGGTTGATAGAAGGTGGCTATGGTGATAAGAGGGCAACAGAGATCCCTGTAGTTTTGGTACTGTTCAGTATTTTGATTGTGGTAGTGGATAAGTGAGCAAATTTAGATGATAAAAACTGTATATAACATACTTCATACATAACTAGAAGTAAAATGGAGGAAACCTGAGTAAGATCAGCAGATTGTATCAATATTAAAATCCTGGTTGTGATGTTTACTACAGTTGACAAAATATTTCCACTGGGAGACACTGAACAGAGTGTACAAGGGATATTTCTGCATTACTTCCTAAAACTGGATTTGAATCTCAGTAAAAAATTTCAAATATCCTAAGTGCTAAGAGAACAGTTAAGTAAATGATGACGGATCCATAAAATGGAGTACTATACAAGCCCTTTTAAAAATGGGTACATTAACTGTAATCCTGTGGAAAGGTAGCCAAGAAGGAATAATTTAAACAAGACAAGTGGCAAAAATATGTATAGTAGTATTTCTTTTCTGCAACTACACACACTATTTTTAGACACAGAAACTTTCTGGAAAAAGTTGAGACACTTGATAATGTTTGAATCAAGAATATGTACTCCTGATACAATTTTTAAAAGCTAGTTTTAAATACTCAGTTTTTTTTACCTATAACCTCCCTCCTCCAAAGGAAAAGTAGGAAAGAAAGAGGGAATGGAAGGTGGGAGGGAGGGAGGAGGGATCTATCACTTACGGTGGGGAAAAATAATTGGAAGCGTTGATCTCCCAGTTTTGAGTGAGCTACAAAATCTCCACAATCAACGGGAGCCTCGAGCACCTCATACCCGCCAGCCTCCCCAGCCCGCCGTCCCCGCTTTGCCCCACGGCCTGGCCTGGGCAGGGCGAGCCCCACTCGGCCGGCGCTCGCGGGGCTCTGCCTGGTGCCCCGCGACCCCGACCCCGGCCTCGGGGCTTCTCCTCACCCACCAGGCGCTAAATCCACCCGCTGGTTGTAAAACGGCGCCCAGAGCCTCCAAACAAAGTGTAACCACGGTAACAGCCAATCCCAAAGAAGACGGGGCGGCCTTTCCGTACGGTGCCCCAGTAGGGCAAACTACCTCGAGTCGAAATTAAACGCTGAATCTCCGGACCCGGGTGAGGAACAGAATTTCCTCCAGGTAGGTTTTTAAGATTTAAATAACTTTGGAAAGCACTTAACAGAGAAATCACATTTTGTTACAGTTACCCAATGAAAGGTAACCTGATCTTTAAATTGTTTTTGATTTGTCTATATTTATTACTTGCATCTAGTGAATGTTAAATTCATGTATAAATTGTTTATTCCACAAAACCTTATTTAATCCTAAGAGTGATTTCTGGGTCTGTAAGTATGGAAGGAAAGCCAACAAACGTTTTTCCTTCCATGACAACAGTTTCTTTTAAGAAAGAAAATAATCAGTCAAATGTTACTCAATGACTATCAAAAACCTGAGTGAGTGGGTTTGTGGGGTGAGAAATTTGAAAAATTACTTTCTGGAATATGTGTTACTATAAAATCTTGACGGTGACATCCACTATTTTAATGTAAAATTTTAAGTTTAAGCACACATCATGCTATTTAATTTTCACTTAACAATTCATTAAAGTTTTTTTGTTGAAGCAAATATATAAATATATAGTGTATGAAATGTGAAATTTCATTTAGTTAATAACTAAATTTCATTTTACTTTAGTATTACTGCTTTTAACTTTCTTAAACTTTGCAAACAAAGCATTAAACTCCACAAGGAAGTGGCTAAAAATAATTGTAAAAGGTACATGACATACAATAGGCTAAAAGCAAACATTTCAGTGAGCTTTGAAAAAAATAGACTATTTCCTGGTAACAATAAGAATTAATAATATGGAGTTCTCAGTAGACTTTTGTCATTAAAAAATAGATATTAGTACTTCATTCAAAAAAGATGATTTTCAAAAATAAACTACTTCTGGTTTCAGATCTAATTATATTTAGATCTAACTTAAATTTAAAGTCTATCTCAGGTGGCATTTTTTTCTTTTTTTAGTTTAGTATTGTTGACTCATTCAAACTCTTTATTTGAAGTGTTCAGGTTACCATATTATGTTAAAATTCGTATTTAAAAATCTTAAGGATGATTTTATTTGTAATTATAAAACTATTCAAGATTTTCCTAAAGAATATCAAATTTATTAGTAATCAGTTAATTTATAAAACTAAGTTTAAGAAGCTAATTTAGTAATCAAATAATTTGAAGATGATGTCTAAATTGCTTTCCTTCTAAAACTTTACTTTGTTAAACAAACTGATAGCAAAAAAGAAAAATATTGAAAGTTCTTCTGAAGATAAATTAATCCATGGTTACTACATGTTATAGTCTCATGTTATTTTTTACTTTTGAAGAAAACTATCAGTTAGTCATAACATAGCTATCACTAATTAATATCACAGATTAAGGAAAAAAACAACAGTGATCTCAAATAATTATATGTCAATTTAACTAGAAACTGTTATAACTATGCAGCATTTAGCAGAAATCTATTTAATTGTAATCTTCCTAGGAATTATAGCCCAAAATTGAGTATGTTAGTTTGTCCCTAACCTTTCAACTTGAGTAGGGTTTTTCTTTCTTGTTTTTCATAAATAACTTTCTTTTCATTAAATTTGCTCTTGTTTGGAAATCATCTACAAGACTGGTTGGCTTATACCTATTGGCCTATTACAACATCTTTCTCTTAGAGAGCCCATAATCAATGTTTATGGCGGAAATAAAAGGATGAAAGATAACTATTTGTTCCTCAGCTATCTGGCTAGGATAAGATTTCTTTGAAAATGTTAATTGAGTGGTGTGATTAGTTTAATAACATTCTTCAACAGCTGTCTTGATTTCATATGACCATGATATAATTTAAATATCTCAGAATATCATGGCAGTACTTAAATAGCTGCATAGCAGGTGGTTGTTTGCTTTATTTTCTTGAGAGTGATTATTGGATAATAATATTTTTAGTATGTGACCTATAGTGTTGGATTCTTAGACCTCTGCTTCTCTTTTTCTGTTTAAAGACTATCCCAAACTCTCAAGTTCCTTCTCTAATGCTCTGTGTTCTCTCCCTGCAGCTGACATCACCACCTACTTGAGTCCATCACTTTCCCATAGTTCTCATCTCATTTCCCAACCTCAGGCATACCTCCTTTGTATAATCTTAGTATTTCTATACTAAAATGTGGTATGATGAGATGCATAGGTAACATTTAGCCAGGTCCTGGACTAAGTACTTTACAAACAATCTCCTCTAAGTTTCACAATATCCCTTTGAAGTGTGTACTGTTATAATCTATATTTACAGATGGTGACATTGGAGCTGGAAAGAGTAGCAAGAGCATGGTTTGTATCTCTGGGTTTGAATCTCAGTCTTGCCACACATTTAACTACGTGGATTCAAGGAAGTTATTTTACAACTGAGTCTCTTTCCTCATTGGTAATACTGGTGATAGCAGCATAATAGTTCCTAAGAGGCAAAATGTGATGGTCTGGGCAATCAATACAAATAACATTGTAGAATATGGGAAAATGTTACTAGCTTAAGTATTTAAACGCTATAGACCTGGGTTCAAGCTTCATCTCTGCCTCTTTGCAACATCCCAATGCTGGCAATTCTACTTCCTACTGTATCTCTTATTTCCTGGTACTCTTCTCCGTCCCCACAGCTACCTTGCAATTTAGACCACATTAATTTCTTATGACCTAGTGCATTCGCTTTGTAAAGTATTTCTCTGAGTTAGGTTTTTTTTCTGATTTGACTTTCACACAAATGATAGAATTATGGTTCCCCACTATCTTCAGAAAAGTAAAAATGATTTCTTAGGAAAGCATACGTACATGATCCTTCACCATCTTTTCTGAGTCTATTTCTCTAGCCTTATCTTAACATCTCCTTCCACTCAGACTTCTGCCCTCATGCACTTCACTATAAATGGGGAACACTGTGTTCCATCTGTTTTGAAATCTTCCTACCTCTACCCCATTTTTTGTCTGACTGGGACCTTCTTAATCAGCCTTCAAGGGGCATTTCAGGTTACCTCCTCTCTGAAACCTCCCAGCTCCTTTTATTCCCTGCCCCTCTCCAACCCCAACACCTAAGTCAGAGTTGGCCACGGGTTTTAATATTTGACTCCTTCAGAGTCTGTCTTATCTATTCACTTTTCTGTTCCCATTTTCTAGTGCTTAGAAGGAACTTAAAAACAACAAAAAGTAATTAGAGTTTAAATCAACTAGTGAAAAATGAATAGGTGAACTGTTGTAAATTGTCCTTACCTATAACATTTATACGATTTAAAAAAATTTTCTGCTGTTGGACCATTAACTAATCTGGAAATGAACAAAATAAATATACCACTAGAATCTTATTTGATTAAGTTGAAAACAAATTATTTGTCTACAGCAAAAAAAAAATAGAGATCTCTCACATTACAGGTATTTAAATAGAAATTGCACTAACTTGTATACCTTTGTGTTAACACATCTTTATTTTCATTGGTGTGGTTTTCAGCATGTGGCTTGAGGCTGAGAAGTTCCACACGTGAGCATCTCCTCTTACCATTCGGTGCAAACATGGCTGTGGGCTTCCTTGACTAGTTACTTAGACACCCTGTTTATTGTATTCTAACTCTTTAACGTGCACTGCTTGCTATGGTCTGAATGTTTGTCTCTCAAAATTCACATATTGGGATCTTTACACCCAATGTGATGGTGTGAGAAGATGCGACCTTTAAGAGGTGGGTGATTAGGTCATGAGGATGGATCCTGTATAAATGAGATTTATGCTCTTATAAGATCCCACAGAGTTCTCCAGCGCCATCCAGTCCCTTTCACCATCTAAGGATTCAACAAGTTTGAAACCCGGAAAAAGACCTTTCCCCAGCCATGCTGACACCCTGATCTCAGACTTCCAGCTTTCAGAATGGTAAGAAATAAGCATCTGTTGTTTTTAAGCCCCCTAGTCTGTGGTATTTCATTTTAGCAGCCCAATCGGACAAGAACACAGCTGTTTTGAAGTTCCCATGACATCCTCCTTGCCACGTTTGCCAGCCTTCTCACTGTTTTTGAACTCTGTGTCACGGAGCACCACTTTAGAAAGTTCTTCCTCTGTTGGTTTCCCTAAGATCATGATTTTGTAGGTCTGCTTTAAAAAAATCCAAATTCCTAATGATATCATTCTCTCCCATCCAACCTCTACTTATTTTTACCTGTAGCCAATCCCTCTTCTTTCATTAGTTCCCATGAAATGGATGGGTGCACTCGCATGCATCTCTATGGGTGACTCCCAAGTCTGTATGGCCTCTGCTATCCATTTGCCTGCACTCCGTTTCCAGAGATTAACCACAAAGAGATCTTCTACCAATCCAAGCTCAATTATTATATATTAAATTCATGAAATTCATTAATTCTTTTCCAAACATTTTCTTTCCCAATTTCCTATCCCCAGTGATTCTCAGTATCCTTTTATTTTTCCGTCCGACAGGAATCCTCCAGATCCTCTTTGGGTCTTTCTTTTCCACAGTAAAACATATTAACACCGCCTCCAAGTCCTCTTTTCCTTCTGTCTCTTATAAAACCCTTTCCTAACTGCCAGGTGCTTTGTTGGGCTCCTCCCATTTTTAATTCACTCCTTCTCTTCATCTTGGGCACATAGTTGCCTCCGCCTCCAGCTGAGAAGTGCCCCATGACTAAGTAGGTACCAGTGCCACGTGAGCAGAAGAAAAGTGTGCGATTTCCACCTCAGTTGCTTACAAGATGCTTGTCTGAGTTTACTCATCTTCTTTCCCTTTCTGCTGCCTGTAAAGGAGGACACCCTGAGCAAATGTGGAAGTCATATATTGAACAGCTAAGGCAAGCCCCAAGTTCCTAAGATGATTTCCTAGGCAAGACCCAATTACCAACCTTGGACTGAGAGAACAATAAACTTCAGTTTATTTTTGTATTTGGGTCTTTTGATAAAGCATTTTAGCCTAGACTCTAGTATGCTAATTCTCACCAAATCAGCTGCCAGCTTATGCCTTCAACATTTCACATCAGTTACTATAGAGCAATCCTGATCACGAGTCATCTTTCTCTTTCTTATTCACAGACAGAGGCCAGGACTTTGGGCCTAAGAACATGTTCAGGTTGTAGGAGATCACAGCTTTCTCATATGCTGTGATAAATAGAATTGAAGCCAAATAAATAGAATTGAGGCCTTCCCAAGGCCTACACATCTTGGGAAGAAACTGAAATAAAAGTCAGGCAGTCTTTCCAGCTCAATGCCCCATCCAAATAGGCCAGACACTGCAGGTGCCTAAGAATGAGACTACAGGACAGAAACTAGAGAAACCAAATGACAGCAAGAGAGTTCAAAGCAGAGGCTGGGTGACAAAGCCTGGAGAGACTCAGCTGGGAAGAAGAACCTTGGGAGCTTTAGGGAGGCATGTCGCCTCTGGTCAAAGTAGAGAAGGAAGTGCAGGGACTCTAACTGAGACATCTTAATTCTCCACTTTCCAAGGCATCCTTCAGTTCAACAAACAGATTGGTTTCTTCCTACCTAGAGGCAAACAGCTCCAAATTGGTCTTATTAAATCTGAGTTCAGTATGTCAATCATGCACTGCATGTACCACAATACTGTAAAGTGCACTTTGTAAAGTACGGTGCTAGCGAGAATTGAAATGATGAAGGAAAAGAGAAAACCCAGAAACATACCCAGGGAAATTTTGAAACTTCATATTGAACAAAGCACTAAAAAAACCAATGGGTTAAATGTTGTTTTTTCCATAAAAGTTCTAGGAAATTTGGCTCTTCGGAAAATAATTTTTAATTAACACAATCTTAAATAAGTTAGCTCTTTTTCTTACATTGTATACCAAACTAAATTACGGACTGATTAAATAGTTTAATTCATCCTCTCATTAATTCATTCAACAGACATCCATTAAGTACTTGCTGTGTGAAAGACTCTGGGAATATAATGATATGCAAGACCTACTCTTTCCGCTTAAGGATCTCAGAGTCTGTGTGGGAAGAAAGACAAGTAAAGGAAAATATCAAGAGGTAACAAATGGAGGTTAGACAGAACTTCTAAAGCAAGACCTCAATGAGACGCTGACATTATTTGGGGAAAGAAAAGGGACAGGAAGAATTAAAAGAAAGCTTTCCAGCAAGGAGAACAAGGTGTGCTAAACCCAGAAACAAAATATTTTACTTTCTGAAAACAAAGAAGTTCAGTAAGGTGGCTATTGACATGTTATATAAATGTCGTTTTGGTCTCAGCTGCCTAGGTAGAGAAGACAAGTCCAATTTTCAAGATATCTTCAACATGTCCTTATATTCAGGAGGGCAAACAGGAATGTTACACAACTGGTGTGAAGAAAAATGTGCAGCTGACATGAGTAGGCAGAATTATTTAAAGTTGTTACCGTGCTGAGAGCTTATAGTAAAAGTTGTTATCTTTTCAGAATCATCAATACCTGAAGAGAAACAAGAATGTTAAGAAAAAACAAAACATTAATTTTTAAATACTTTCTTAATCTCATTAATGGCGCTTTCTTGGTAAGAATCTTCATAATTATTTAGTAAAGAAAATGCAATATGTTTTATTGGCAGTTACTAAAAAATTATCACTGTCTTTTCTGTAGGTTCTTGGACTTTTACTCATGGCATTTGGTGCATGGCTTTTATTAGATAGAAATAATTTTTTCACAGTTTTGGGTATGTATCTATTTTTCTTCTGCTCTCTGAATGAAACCAGACATTCCGTTTTAAATAATTGCATACATGATTTATTCAGCAGGTGGCAGCATTTCTCAAAAATTCATTAGTATGGTCCAATTTTCCCCTCCGAAGGTCTTTGTCAATTAGTTTTAGAAACATCATTAAATAGTAAGACTTAAATCCCAGGCCAAAATAAAGAGAAAATTTGGGGAGACAGAGATAGGAACATTTGCTGGAGAAGAGCTAATGGAAGACTGGATTATTCGGCTAAACTCCAGACCTTCACAGATCCGTAGAATTGAAAAGATAATGGAGACCAAGTGGTTCACTGCCCACGTTAGAAAATGTCTTTTAAAGCTCAGTTACCATCTACTCTCGCCACCACATGGTTAAAAATAAAATATAATGTTCCCTAAATATGAACAAAATAATTGAATTCATTTAACTTACTAAAAAAAACTTTAGATTTTTTTATGGCCTTTATTTTTTGCTATTTTGTAGTATGCCGTGATGGCTATGAACTAATGTTTAATGGGCTAAGTGTTCTTTTCATATACATATCCTTGGTTGGAGGCAAGGAAGCCACATTTGAAGTACTTACTAGCCATGTGAGGCTATTGGGTATTGGCTACCTTATTGCATAGCACAGATAAAGAACATACCCATTATTTCAGTAAGTACGATTAAACAGCATTGTTAATCATTACATATGTGACCCAAAAAAGAAAAGGTAGAAAAAAGAAAGCTAAATAAAAAGCTAAGTTTAATGGGTGATAAAGTGCTGCAAAGTGTATTGAGTAATTTAGCTAAACTCCTATCCCTAAATATCTGGTATCTTTCTTCTGTTTGTATAATTTGATCTGGAAACGTATTCACGATGACTGCATGCATTAACAATTTGCACGGAGTAAATGGGTGTGTGGAGATGTTATGACCACTTTTCTGTTTCTCCTTTCCTTCCCCAGAATAATGGCAGTAGTAGCTTCCACTTACGTAGTGTTGACTACGCCAGACACTGGGCTAAGTACTTCCTGTACAGTATCTAATTTAATAATGTAGTAATTAAGCCGAAGTAAAAGTCATTTTCTTTTCTTTTTTCTTTCCTTCCACTATGCCACTGAAAGATAATTATCATTAACCTTAATATACTTGGTTGTGAAAAAATTTCTGCAAAGGTAGTCAGAAACTCACTTTTTAAGTTCTGTTTCTTTAAAATCACATATTTAAAACAGTGAAACCTCATGGTTTCAAGACACGGAATTGAAAATAACCAGTTTGAGACAAGAAACATTGGGTTCTCCTCTCCCCATTATCTGCACCTTCCAATTAATTCATCTCCTCCAAAATTATTCTGCCTTCACCTCTCTTTTTGTAATAACACTATGCCACCCAAAGCCCCATCTACCTTCTGCCTCAGTAACAGCTTCCAACAGCCTTGTGCTCTGATCTCCTTTCTCAGCCATCTTCCAAATATCACTCAAGTCCTTTAAAGTGCAAACTTAACCATCTAGCATTAAAAGCTTTCCTCTGCCTCCCCTTTGCCATTTTATGCTCATGTGACAAACATTTATAGAGTATCTTCTGCATGTTAGGCACTATGCCGTGAGCTGAGGGTACAGTGGTGGACAAGAAACGTAAAGGTCCTGTTGTCATGGAGCTTAATTCCAGTGAGAAAGACTGACAACAGCACACAAAGTGTGCAGTTTGGCCCCTACAAACCTTCCCGGTCTCACCTGCCTTTAACTGTAAGTGCCAGCCAAGTTGAGTTTCCTACCCAAACTCCACTCTTCCGTGTCTCAGAATGCTTCCACTATTCCAACCAAGATATTTCCAATTAATCATTTAAAGCCCAAACTCGGGTATTGCCTTCGGTTATATTGCCCCCTACTGGCTGGATTAGGTGTGCTTGTACCCAGTCGTTTAACAACTGGTTTTGGAGTGGAGTCTTGATTAATGATATTTGCTGTTTCTGTGGTTTAAATAATCCCACGATGGCTGATGTCACGGTGCCCATGTGAACTGAGTTGGCTTACAAGTTTCATGAAGATTTAACAGTTGGCTTTTATGAGCCAGAGCAAGCTGGCTCCAGCACACCACTGCCTCTGCTGTCTTCCCATAAAACCTAGGGTGTATTTAATTTAGTTATTCTTCCTTTTTTAAAGCAAATACTTGTTAAGGGCTTAACGTTCTACAGTCTGTGTCATAGCATAAACATTTAACCGTCTGTTGAGTATATAAGTATACATAGTCTGCAGCACAGAGAGCTTGGTCTTGGTCAGGAGAGGATAAAATACAGTTTTAACAGGCCCTACTACCAATAAACTCAGGGTCTCATAGAAGGGAGACTTAACCCACACATGATAGGTACTCAAAACATTTTGATGAATGAATGAATGAATAAATACATAAAATTTTGGATGTACATGAAACATAGAAGAGTTCACCCTAGGAAAAAAAATGTCATTTTATGAAACTGTTTTTGTAGAAAACAGTGAAGATAGGGGAAAGGTAAAGAGAGCCACTGAGACTGAAGAACTTCTCTATCATGCCATTAAAGGAAGAAGAATTGTTGCTAAGAGTAAGTGAGAAGTGGTAGAATGAGGTTTAAAAAAAGAGAGAAAGGGACTCCTAGTGGTTTGGCAGCAGCTGTTTAGGGAAATCATGGGCTGCTGCATTTATTATTAAAGAGAAAATAAGCATCACTTAATAATAAATTATTTTTTGGTTTCCACAGATGAGAATAATCAGTTGATAATACCTGTTTTTCAAGTGTTGATTGGAACTGGATCTGCTACTGTTCTCCTTTGTCTCTTGGGTTTTTTGGGAATTCACAATGAAATCAGATGGCTCCTAATTCTGGTATGTATTTCATTTCAATGACCTGAATTAATTTGTAACTTCAATTTTGAGTGTACAAGCCACACAAATGAGCAATAATGATTTATGTGGCCGTAACTTTGCACAAGTGCGCCCTTGGGAGTAAAGCAAATGTAGCACCTCCTCCAAGAAACTTTTCTAGGTAGAATTTTCTTGGTGAGTTTTCCACGGATCAAATATGGACTTCAGCACATGTACACTTAGATACTAATTTTCAACAGAGAGTCAGTGGGAATCTGCCTCCTAGGGTAAGCTAGAATGAACCAAATAAAGGGCATTAAAGTCAGTAAGCAAAGTAGTTTAGCAAGGCAAAGAAAACATGTCCTTAGTCAGCACGTTTTCTCCCTGTGGGCATGTCATGTGGGAAGCTAACTTAAAACTGAGATCAGAATTTATTATTTAAAAAAAAGAAAATATAACTGCTGAGTAGACCAGACTCTGGCATCTGGCTAGCACACTGTCTCTCCTTCAGCAGGTAAAATGAAAAGATAAATTAAGATCAGGAATATAGACCTGAACATAAGCCAGTAACCAGGGATGGATCACAATTCACAGATACAGGTGAAATATGCTTTTCTTTTCACATTTTCTGTAAATCAAATCAGGTTCAATTCACAGGCAGTCTCCAATCAAGCAGATGGAAACTTCGACTGCAGCTGTAGTGTCTCTTGCCTGGAAGAATGCAGACATCCTTAGTTTTTATGTACCACTGGGCATCTGGGTGGTCACCCTGGACACTGGCTGTTGGTCTCCACAGGTTACCATGAAAGTTCCCATTTCCCCAGGTCACCTAGTCCCTTCAGATCTCTTCATTCGAAGGATTTGTCCAGAGCCACCACTGCAGCTCCTTCTCTGCCGTGCCCCTCCCCTGAGACAGATGAGATCCCATGGCAGTCAAAGGACTCATGCCCAAAATAGGGACCAGTGGCTGTTTGTTATTGATGACCGTTACCTGTTTTTCATCTGAATATGACCCGCTGGCAGAGACATTGTAGGCAGAGCGGGAAGCCACACTGTCATTTCACCCTGGGGTCTCGCCACCTCACAACAAATCACCCTCATGTATATTTCAGTCAGTAAAATATTCAGACTGCTAACTTTTGAAATTATTGTGAACTCTAGGTAGTATCTATCATTATGTGCTGCTATAATGAAGAAAACTGCAGTGGCCATAAGTTTTAAAAAATACATGAATACATGAGAAAATCATTTTATTTGACTTTGGATAGAAATATTTCAAGTTTTCAAAGGAATAGTCCAAATGTACATACAGACTTGACTTCACTGTTACAGTTGCTTTTGTTACTTCCTGGGTTCTTGTTATTTTGTATTTGATGGAACATTTTACATAGTAAGTCACAATTTAGAGAGTTCCTTAGTGTTAACAGAATGGTGTGTTAAGTGGAGGTCCAGATAGCTGAGTTCCCCTCTATGACGGGTTTAGGTCTGAATGAAGACGGTATCATCAGCAACCTCATGAGACCAACTAGTCTGGTTAGGCTTCTCAGGAAACACTATCATGTCTCTCTTTCTACCAAATGTGCAATGATTATTTTTCTTTGCCTTTTTGTTTGAATAATTTCAATCTTTGATATGAAGGCAGGAAAATTCACCAATGTGTGTGTGTGTATACATATATATATATATATATATAAAGACTGTATATTTCATATGATTTTCCCACCATTGTAGCAACTAGAAACTGTATTAGAAGCATAGTGTCATCTCTCTTCTCCCTCTGTTTAGTATGCAGCACTGTTAATGTGGGCCGTTGGAGGTCAGGTTGTACTATCAGCATTCATCTTCACAAAAAAAAAGGAGGTATGGAAAGATCATCCTTTTATTTGATATCTAAAGAAAATGATATTTTAAATGATTGAGACCAGTGAGCCTATATTAATTGCTAATGGTAAATGTCTTTGGAGGGAAAAAGGATTCAGTGGAAGTATTAGAATTCTATATAGGAAGGGGTCAAGGGTCAGATAAGAAAGGTGGGCTGGAGGAACTTGTCCTACTCTGCATAATATGGAAAGGTCGTAAATAATAAAGAATGAGGAGGCAGGGACGAGGTGATGCTGAGTGTGGGGAATCCAAAATTGGCCCCCCAGGGCAACCCTGGCTACCACTACAAACGCAGTCACTATATTATATTCCGTTTTTATGAAGATATATCTTTTGTCTTGTACTAATTTGAAGTTTAACCATTTCATTTAAATAAGATGGGCTGAATAATTAATATATTTTGCACTGGTATGGTCATGAGCGATATAATTAATTTGAGCAAAATTTATATTCATCAAATTAAATTCAAGAAAAGCACATAATAAGTTGCCTAAAAGAAGTTTTGGTAACAGAACTTACCTTAATAGGTAGGTTATTTTTAATTGCTTAAGAACTTCAGTGTTTGGGGGCACTCAAGGTCTGTCTTTGCATCACAGAAGACTTGAAGTCGTACAGATCTGTGGATGATGAGAGATCAATTATTACTCCACAGCCTTAAGCCAGTATCTTCAACTGTAAAGTATGGTTAAGACCTTCCTACTTTAATACAATTATCATTAACTGATGGCTTATAAAGTTCCTGTCATAAAGTAGCTACTGAAGAGCACTTTTTCTCCCTCTAATTAATTTTGAAGGAGCCCGTGATTAATTCCTATGTGTCCTAGCCTTCAAATTCTCTTTTTATATAGACTCCTAAGTAATTCGAAAATCCCAACAAAATCTTCTGTATATAACAGCATTGCCCTCCAATTTCATTTACTCTCTTGTGCTTGGAATCTCCCCTGGATATCTAATCACCCAGGGCCTATTGTTAATGGCCTGAATTTCTTCTCTCCACAGCCAAAAATGTGTGTGTGTGTGTGGCGCGCGCGCGAGCATATGTGTCTGTATACAGCAAGTGAGTCCTGTAAAGCTATTTTGGTGGCAAAGCACCAGATCCCTTCTCATCAGGCCCTAAGTTTAGGACCTGGAGAAAGAACCTAAAAATGACGATTACAGACTCTTAACACATAAATATAGTTTATCAGTGTCATCCAGATTCACGTAAGTATTAGTCACATCCTCCTTTCCACCTATTTTAAGGATAGTAAGAGCTATCATTTAATAATAGTTACCATGTGCCAGAGTCTGTGATAAGCACTTTATAGGTATTATATTATCAACCCTCACAACAAGCCCTGGAGATGCATTTGTTTGTTCCTATTTCTAAAGCAAGGAACGGAGGCTTTTAGAGGAGAAACACTTGCTAAAATATATCACGGCCCAATCACAGAGCCTGGATTCAAACACTTATTAACTGATCCCAGAGCTAACAGCTTTATTTACACTGATTTGTCTTCTACATTCAAACCGAACTAAGCTCTTACGAGCCTCTAAATCTTTTAGGCCATTTACGGTTGCTAACTTAGTGTGCTTCAAAGGATGTTTGTCAAATCAAATATATATGAGAGAATTTTATTTATAAAGTACTCATAGATTATATATGAAACCCATTTATATACTAAGGTAATTCAAGTGCACTATAGATCTCTCAAATAATGTTTCAGAGAGTGAGTGAGAGCAAGTCAGTCCCCTCCCTACAACAATATCAAATGGGAAAACATCATATTCTATTCTGAATACAAATAATTAGAATTTAGACAATAAGTTAGATAACTTATCGATTTAAATAACAATACATCATTCTAATCATAGATGTATTAAATAAAGCATAGATGTATAAGTAACTGTGTAAGAGTTTAACCTGCACACATATTTTAATTACTGTAGTATTCCCACCAGTTTAGTTTTCATAATTCGAAGACAGTGTAATACAATGGGAAATCATTAGATTAGAATTCAAGTGAACCATATTTGAAAGCCTTAGCTCCTTTTCCTTATTCATGTAAACAAAGCAAATAATTAAATCTTCCTATTATCTATCTCCTTGTTCATAAAATAGGGATAGTAGCTGTCCTTTCTACCTTTTGGTATTTTTGAGGACCAAATTAGGAATTAGTTATGAAAGTCATATAAACTTTTAAATGCTTAAATAAGTTACTATTAAAACTTAGCTCTGCAATATCTACATTTTGAAAGTCTTCTCCAAAACTTTCAGCTCTGATTGTTTTTTGTTTTAATATTGGCAAAGGATTTTTTAAATTAAAAATCTTAATTCTTATAAAATATATAATAGACACAGGTCAATTATTTTACTTAACATCTTGATTAATGCGGGAACCAGTACGATATAAAAACCCATTCAAAGGAGAGTCCAAAGAGAAGACACTTATAAAAGCCATCACTTAATAGATGGAATGAACAGAGTTGGAAAGGGGACGGATAAATTGCACCCCCACTAAGAAAAACTCACTTGCAATTTCCTGACAAAATAAAATCATTTGCCTAAAAATAGTTTTCTACAAATTATTAAGTTTTAAAGTAAGTTTAAAACTATGAAAGGTACAGACCCTCACAGAATCGGAGGACATTGAGGGTGTGCTAGAGAAAGCCTAGCTTCCAAAGAAAAGATAGTAAACTTTTTTGTCCATTCCAAAGGTTTTCACAATTTTTCCTAAGGGTACAGGAAGAAATGTGGAACCCCTAGATATTCAAGAGAACAGCACATAACTTTCTTCCTAATTATAAAATAAGTCTAGTATATTGTTCCAGTAGATCATGATGAGAAAGAACAAAAGTCTCAACACTCAGACTGCTAAAAATAATTGAAGAAAAAAAAACACTTAGAAATAAGCAGAAAACTTCCTTTAAATACTCTTTTTATGAGGAACAGTAGGGAACATTGCTATCAAATTTTCACTTTTTTTTTCTGTCTCCATTGATTTGCCTATTTTTTTTTCTTTTTTTTTTTGAGAGGGCATCTCTCATATTTATTGATCAAATGGTTGTTAACAACAATAAAATTCTGTATAGGGGAGTCAATGCACAATCATTCATCAACCCCAAGCCTAATTCTCAAAAGTCTCCAATCTTCTGAAGCATAACGAACAAGTTCTTATATGGTGAACAGTGCAAGAGCAGTCATATCACAGAAACTTTCAGTTTTGATCACACATGCAATTTAATTAGTAGTTTGTTAAAACCTATACATCCTTATGTTACTCTACAAATTTTCACTTTTAATACAACTTTCAACAGGTTCAGCAAGTATGGCATGATGAAATTGATTTAGTCATTTCCAAGTATGGAGCTCAAGATATGCCTGAAGACATACCCAAGTGGACTATTCTGAATACTTTACAGAAAACAGTAAGAAAAACATAGCATAAAACTAAAAATTGGAGGTCAAACGTGAACAAAATTGGACAGGGAGAGACAGGAAGGGCAGGGGACAGCGGCAGAGGAATGAGCAGTTCTTGTATTACTTTCAGACAAACCGGGTGGAATAGCATTGTTCCCACTTATCCTCCTTTAGTAACGTCATTATATCGCCTTTTCTGGGTTGATGTGCATTTTCACGTGGTTTCGCCTGTGAAAGTGCTGTTGGTCTTCTGTCCAGTGGGCTGATCTTCACTGGCACACCCGGGGCGGGGCGGGGGAGCCAGAGCACAACCCCTGCAGGCTGCAGAGCGGCATGTGGTTTTCCGATCCTGAATGCCAGGTTTGCCAGGTAGTAGCTCTGTGACCCTGGACAAGTAACCTTCCTAACTTCAGATTCTGTATTAGTAAAAGGAGCAGAATAATCCTTACTCTGGTTGGCAAGAATACATGAACTGACTTGCAAATGTATAGAAAGTCTTGGATCTGGGACATAGTAAGCAACTAATACTTGGGAGAGCTAATGTTGTGAGGATGATTATTTCACAGTTCAGATGTTTCTGGGCAGGCCCAGGAATGGATATTGTCAGCCAAATAGTTTACAGGAATAGATCAGCAGTTGGAACGTAGTAAGTGCCTGACAAAGAAAATAGCAGCCGTTTACATAGTTGCCAGACCTTTTTGTGAGCGCTTCTATTAACTCACTTAATCCTCCCAACCCAAGGAGGCAAAGCTGTTATCCTCATTGTACAGATGAGGGACAGTGAAATTTAGTCACTTTACCCAGGGCCACAAAGCTAATTAGTGGCAAGACTCACTGCCAGACAGTCTGGCACTAGGTTTCATTCTCTTCCCTGCAAACTTAGGTGCCTCACATAATTAATTATTTTTAGTACACGTAATAACAGATACGCATTTTAGGAGAATCAAAATCTAGTTAAAAGTGCTTTTACTTATCTTGCTTTTCCTCTAATATACGTGATCTGGACATGTACTGCATTTTCACATTGCACTGTGACTAACAGCAGGGGATTGAACCTTCCCATGGTTGGAAGCTGAGACACAGGAAAACAGGTCTATGGATGACATCACTTCCGTTAATGAGAATCAAGCTTATAGTTTTAGCTACTAATATAATTGAGATAGTACATGTAGGTTTGACTGGTCAAACTTATTTTCATTACCCAAACTCTAGAGCACCATTTTCAGCATTCCAAGATTGTTCCAAAATTGCTGGGACAAATTGTGGCATCGGTGGTACTGATGTTACAACTTCCAGTAACAAGTTTAGAAAACAATGAAATACTTACTTTAACTTTCTCTTATTTTCTAAATGACAAAAACATAAGCTGATTCTTTCATATCCTCCCAACTCAAACCAATAGGATTAGAAATGAGACAATGCTTAGATGTTTGATCATCTCTGTGACTATTGTCCTTATCATCTTTTTTGTTTTTTTTGTGGCAGCTTTTTGCACAATACAAAATTGAAAGTTAACATCCCATATAAATCCTAAGAAAGTAAAAATAACCATAAATCTCCCTACGTACACTAAACACATACAGCAACACATTCTGGATAAATATAAAGAGAACTGCTATAGGTGAAAGGAGGATATGGCTAAGGTGATTCTTTCTTCTATGTACTGGCCCTAAACATAATTTATAGTTTGTAAATCAAGATTATCTTCATCCTGGGCTCCTATAAGATAAATTCAGATACAACAATTTCTTCCAAACATAGCCCACTTACATGAGGAGAGATCTTTAGCTGTGATTAACAGCAATACCAGCAACGTAGTAATGCATTAAATGAACAAACAAAACTGTTTAACTCACTATATTTCAGTGGGAAATAAATTAACAAATAATCTTCATCACAAAAAATACTTTATTATGCATGAAAATCATGATTAACTGCATTTTGAGTAATTTACAGGAATATTCATAGAATCTTTTTCCTAGTTACAGTGTTGTGGCCAACACAATTACACAGACTGGATAAAGAATAAGAATAAAGAAAATTCAGAACAGGTGCCATGTTCTTGCACAAATTCTACATTAAGAGAGTGGTTTTGTGATGAGCCACTGAATGCAACTTACTTAGAGGTAAAGATAAGCCTTCTCTGAGTGTTTACAATGCCTTTTTTTTTTGCAAGTCAATTTAGAATTCAGAACAATTTTTTAATATAAAAGCAATGTGATTCAAGTTGTTCTTAAGCTACTTCATCAAACTGAACCTATAATTTGGTGAATTGTAGTATCATTTCAGGTATATAGTAAACTAAATAACCTTTATGGGAGTATGTGATCCAGGTGCTCCTAGAACTTGGGATACCAAAGTCTTTTTCTGCAACCCTCCTTCCAAAATCCCTGCAGAGATAGGAGACATTTTTGGCAAATCCCTGGTGTATAGGTTTGGTAAGGGAGAGGTAATGCCAAAAGTAAAGAAGTATGAGGATTGGCAAAACTGAAGGGAGGGGACCCTGGCAGTGACAAAAGCAGTCTTCAGATAAATGCGGCAGAAGGAAGGGTCGAGGTTCATCTGGAGCAATTCCTATTTACAGGTATGGGATGTTGATAAACTAAGGGTTTCCATCCCCCCCAAATTTTGATACTTTATATAGTTTATATGTTGCAGTTACTCTGATTTTATATATCTTTCAGTTACATAATTCACTCATAGATAAGTAGAGTATTATGTTTTTTAAAAGCTTCTTTGGGAAAAAAATTATGTTAGGGGGTAGTATATACCCTATTGAATTATAGTATTCAGAAAATAAGATCCCTGTCAAAACTTAATACATTTCTGGTTCAGTTACACGGCAACATATTCGCAACTTTACAAGTAGCAGCTGAGGAGTCCTCCTGTCATAGGAAGCTCCCTGGGCTAAAAAGGTCAGGGTCAGGTTAGTCATTGACTTGCTTTTACACTTTGGTAAATGACTAATCCATGTATCTCTTCTTCTTTGTAATAGAATTATGTATAAACCATTTCTCTCTCCAAATCAATGTAAGTATCTTCTTTTTTCTTAGGGTTGTGAAAATAAAATCAGCACATGGTTTCATGCTAATGCTTTCACATTAATTGGAATTAACTTCGGGCTTTTGGCTTCAGAGGTAAGCTTTTGTTCATACGTTTAAAAGAAAAAAAATATTAGGCATAAAATATACAGAATAAATGGCAGAACAACCAGGTAGAGACCTAATCTGACAAATTAATCTGATTGGAGTCTGGACCTTAAGACTATTTACAACCAGGAGAGGTGTAGATCTTAGCTGAAGGTGATACCCTTAAATCAGCCGAGTGGGGAGAGCCTGTTAGTAGGTGGTCATCCTGATGGATAGTGATTTCATTGCTTTGTGATGTCAAATAATAATAATAGTTCATATCTCAGCAGTGAGAGCACCATGTTGGGTAATCTGCAAGGTGGCAAACTTGTGAAATCTTGGCAGATATTTGACATTAGGAAATCTATTCAAGCACATACTCATGCATTCATTGGTTCATTCAGTAACTTTGGATGGGGGAGAACATCTACTGTGTGTCAGAGGCAGTTTTATAGGATTGATGACATAGTTAGATGATGAAATAAAAAGTAGATCAGCCATTCATCAGGACCTCTACCCCACTGACAGCCCATGTAATTGACATTGAACAATCTATTCCTTAGTCCCCTCTATAAATGAACTTAGTGAGAGCTGGGTTACTCTAGACGACTCACTCTGAAGACTTCTAACTCACAACCATATGTGCCTTACTATGTAATTTTCATCTTTTCCCTTTTTGGTTTTGATCTTTTTTCTTTTACAGCATGCATTTTGGTGATTATATAGTAAGTGTTAACTTTACAAATTATTCTTATTGATTACATTTTGATATCTTATTATTTCCTTTTCTTCCAGGTTTTGCAAGTCTCGTTAACTGTTTCTTTCTTCAGACACATCAAGAATAGGATATATGCAGAAATGTGATCTTTGAATTTTAATTTTCCCAGAAGAAGCCAGTTAATTCTCAAAATAATCACATCACATTCTTTTATTCCAAAAAAACTTTTGAATTTTATCAAGTGTAGGGCTTTTTCAAGTTATTGGTTATATGTAACACAGAATTCCTGAATACTATAAAAGTAACTCCAAAAATTTTTATTAATTTGGTTTTTCAAAATATCAAATTTGGCAGTTCAGAACTTGACCTTGAGTTATTCTCTGAATTCAGAGCATAGCATCGTATACAGTGAATTCAAAATGTGATGAAGTTGTTTTGAGTTTCTTGGATAGAAAAAATACCTGTATGTTCAGAAAACAGCAGTTATGATAGTTAATAATAACAACACGCAGTTATAACATGTACCTTGCATTTGTAAATTTTAAGAAAATAATACTAGTTTATGAGAGATTTAAAAGATGGAAAATCTTCATGATACTGACCTTTATACTGAATTAATCATTTATTTCTGTCTTCTGATAATGCTTGTAAGGGACTAATAAACTTAAAACTGTATAGATTTGGATATAATTTAGTGACAGTAATAAAATGTTAAAACTACAATAAATTTTTACAGTAGCAAAAATAATCTATTCTAAGTGATCACTGAATTCTCATACTCTTTACTTGGTCCTCATTTTCTTCTCTTTTTGCTTAATTTTTTTTTTCAGTGTGCACATGCACAATTCTCTGAGGGATATAAAAATAACTTAGCTGTTCTATTTTCCTAACAATGTTATTGTGATAACAGAAAAAAAGTCCCTTGAAAAATAAAAAGTGCTATACAGATGTGAGGTATTACCATACCATTGTTGTCCTTTATAGCAAAATGCTGCCTTAACTTTTAGGAAATGAAAAAGGATAGATTACCTGAAGATTCTGTGTTGCTCTCTCTCCTACAAAAGGCTCACTCTCATTTACTAATTCAATCATATCTCTTTTTATCCATGTATTCAGTATATTGCAGATTTCAGAGACCTGTGGGCTTTTTTTAAGTTGGCACAGAAAATAGAATCACCATTTTCTCTAAAATAGCCTGTAAATAGGCATGCCTTCTACACTTGAAAGAAAATCCTCTTGGGATTTAAAGTTCATTTGCAAATTCTCATTCTCTTTAAAATATGCCACTGATGTAAAAAAAATCTGCACTGCTTATAAGTTGAAAAGTAGCTTATTGTTAACCGAATAAATATTATAGGTGATTTGATTATATATGTTTGTTTTTGCTTCAAGGAAACAAAAAGGATCACTAGATATTAAGCTATTTTCAGTTAATACTTTCAATCCACAAAATATATGCACCACTAATTGAATCTATTGCCTTTATGATTCTATGGAAAACTGTCTTGAAGGACATTACTTTATACCTTGAAAAAAATAAAAGACTTATTTGATAAGGTAAAACATGTCCCTCTATTAATCTTATTTTTCTAATTAATTAGAAGGAAACCTTAGAAAGTACTGAAAATCAATGTGGGTCAGAAGTGAAACAATGAGTTAGAATTTAGGGCAACACCTAATCCTGCCTTCCCCTTCAAACTATCTTATTACATACAAAATACATGGAACTTGCTGCAGACTCCCCATTTTAACAATGTTTCCAAAAGTTAGGGCTATTTTGTAATGGTACTAAGCAGGTGGAATACTTGCAAATCCTCCTAGATAAGGATACAGGCACTCAAACAACAAGCCTTTATAAAGCACCTACTCTACACCAGGAGCATCGCTATCTGTTGGGATATGGAGAGGAAGAGATACATACATACTTCCCATACAGGGTTGGCTTCAGGGGCATATAACCTGTCCTTGGAAGAGTCCCAGACTTGGTTAGATACTTGGCAATTGCCAACTTGAAATTTTGGCAATTGCCAACTTGAAATTCTTAATAATTTTTGAGAAAGGGACATTATGTTCATATTTTTTCCTGGGCTCTGTAAATTAGGTAGCCAGCCCCATCCCTGTAGTCAAACTCAAAGTCAGCACACCTCCTGACATGTGAGCAAATGTCATATATGTGCTACTTTTTATGGACACCCAGAAAGAGAATGCCTACGTTTGCCTTAGAGGATCAGAGAGCACATCAAAAAGGAGAGTCATTCATTCAACAACTACTTACTGAGGAACTGCTATGAGTTGAGCACTGTTCCAAGTACTGGAGAAAAAGTAGTGAGTATAATAAAACAAAACAAAATCATTGCCCTCATGGAGGCTACATGCAAGTCAGGGGAGCCAAACAACAAAGCATAAACAACTATTGTGTCAGATGGTGGGAGATTAGGTCAGGCAGTAGAATAAAGATGTGGATTTAGGAGGATTGCTGTTTAAAATAGGATGTACAAAGGCCTCAGGGAGAAAATGACTTCTGAGGAAAGATGAGAAAATAAGGAAAGAACACTGCAAGGAAGAGGGTTGCAGGTAGGAGGGAATGAGGACCGGAGACAAAAGTGAACATTCTGAGTTCAAAAGAGAAGGAGGCTGCATGGCTAGAGTGGAGTGAGTGGGGAACGGGGAGGCTGGGGAGGAACGCCAAAGGGGTCAGAAGGGGAAAAAGGTCTTGTAGGGGCTTTTAGCCACACTCAGGGCGTTGGATTTTACTGAGTGAAATGGGAAGCAATCGGCAGGGTTTTGTGCAAGTGACATTGTTAGACTTGTGTTGCATTAGAAGCAGTCTAATTTTTTAGAAATGATTTACAAGGCATAAAAATGGAAGCATTGGTCTTTATTTAATTATCCAGGTAAGAGCTGGTGGTTAACTTGGCCAGAGAGTAGTGAGAGAGTTGGTGAGAAGCCATTAGATTCTGTGTATATTTTATGGTGGAGTCATCAGAAATTGCCCAGAGTTTGAAATGAGAAAAATAATAGTCAAAGATGACTGATGACCTGAGTAACTAGAAGGATTGAGTAGCCATTTACAGAGTTGGGAAAGACTGTAGGAGAAGCATGGTGATGTTAACTTATTTCCCACTAACTCTTTAAAAATCTTACTGAAGTGATTTATGTGTTTGCATCCCCCACTAGCCTACAAGAAATTCAAGGCTAAGGATATTTTGAGTCATCTTGCAATTCCAAAGCCTTGCTTAGTACTTGACAGTGTATGTGGCCAAAAAGTGTTAATGAATTTTAATAAATCAGATTACTCAATATGTCATATAAAACCCAATTGCCTTCCTCAGTTGTCTGAATCTGTACTCAATGTCTTTGATTTCATGAGGCTATCATAAATATAATCTGTCTAAACTTGCATGGTAAATAGTAGCTGCTATTTCAGTTAGTCACTACCACCCACATCTCCTTTTTTCAAAATCTGAATGAGAGATGTTGGCAGAATATAAACGTCTTTAAAAGGATTTCACTTATTTTTTAAAGAATACTAAAATTGAAATATAGTCAGCCCTAAGTGTGCATTTAATGTTTACAACCTGTGCTCACTATTTGTATACCTTAATTTTCTTTTTCTGACCTTAGGAGAGTAATTATTTAGGGGCATAAGAGTTTCTGGCAAAAGGCAAACAGAAAAAATCTAATGTTTTTGCTGCAAATGAAAAAACACCTTATTTTACACCACCTGTTATCTGTCATTGTTTACCCTCTTAAATTTATTTTTCTTCTCTATTCCTTTTTATTTTTGAAGTTGCCCATTAGATGAAAGAAGACAATGACATATTTCCAGTAAATCTATAAATATTTTGAATAATAGATCTTAACATTATACAAATGATAAATCCAGGGAGAGCAGAAGCTATTCCTTAACAAATTGAGTTACAGAGATGAAACCTTTGGTAGTGTTCTGGGTGTTTGGAACAAAATAAAAGGAAATATTTTTGTACAAGAGTATGTGTACTGTGAAAACTGAGTATCTTATTGTTGAAAATTGTTAAAGCTTATGACCGACTGCATTCAAGTATAGTAGACATTCTCTTGAATGTCTGAAAAGATTTATGGAATGAAACATACATGATTGCTGATTTCCTTAATTAATAGTTCATTGCAGTTGCATATTTTCAGAGGAAAACTGTAAAAGCTATGTCTTTAAGAATCTCTACAGCTTTTTTAGAAAATTCAGAAGTGCATTTAGTATGTGTGTAAATATACGGGTAAAATAACCTTTAAATTATCATATGCATTTCAATTAAATATATGAAAAAAACAAGTTATTTCATGATTAATTTTATAGGGTATAGACACATTAAAGCATGGGTAAATCCAGTTTCATAACTGATATTCCAACATAAGTTGTCTGCTATTCATTTATTTTATTTAACATGAGGAAAATGCTAATGTCTTTTTATTTTGTAATGTATTGTTATCACTATTGAAATTATAGAAAACAAAGTATTAGGAAGTATTTAAATAAGAAAATCAGATTTAGCAAAATCAGTAGTTTTCATATTAAGTATATCATGGTCTAGTGTGTCTAAATACTAGTAAATGAAAAGTGGCTAGTATGTTATGGGCCACAAATTTAAACCAATTGAGATAATAATAATTTCTTCTGTGTTAAAAAATACATGTTTTGCAGCAGCAGAATCACAGAACCCAAGAATGAACTAACAGTTACCAAAGGGAAAGGGACTGGGAAGGATGGGTGGGAAGGGAGGGATAAGGGGGAGGGAGAAAGGGGGCCTTACGATTAGCATGTATAATGTTGGGGGAGGCACGGGGAGGGCTGTGCAACACAGAGAAGACAAGTAGTGCTTCTACAGCATCTTACTATGCTGATGGACAGTGACTGTAATGGGGGTTGTGGGGGGGACTTGCTGAAGGGGGGAACCTAGTAAACATAATGTTCTTCATGTAATTGTAGATTAATGATACCAAAATAAACAAAATACATGTTTTGAAAGGTCTAGAATAATTCTACAAGAAAACTTGGGAACTATTACCAACAACCTCAAACTGAATTATAAACAAAACAGTCCCAACATTGGAAAAGTTATCTTTCAAGTCTGTTTGGTATGACATAAAGATACTGAGTTTCACTGTTTACTTGTATGTCTACTGGCATTTGACTTTCAGGTATAAAACTTTTCATTGAAATCCAATCTGCCTGGACTATTACTGGATATGTGAAAAATGTGTGTTTAATTAATAATTCTTACCAAACACAAGAAACAGATGCCCCTGCATCCCATCATACCAATTTATTATACACATATATTTTATAGCATCATACATTCATCCATATTCATTAAAAATAATACCAATATCATTTTTCCATCCTTCAGTTTTAGTATATTTTAAAGTCAACCAATCCTTTTTTGATAATAGATGTGATATTTCTCTTCAATCCTAAGGCACTGTACCAGATACGGATTTGTCCTAAGAAAATTCAGGTTTTTCAGAAACATTACCTGTCTTTATTATCTCTACATTAAATCTATGAGCCTCTTGCTGGTTGGACCCTTTCTTTCCCTAGGCTTCTACAGGGAGATTCATGTGTTGCCCAAAGGATGAAAAAGTTCCTCTCATCTTCTCAGCATCCAGGTCTCATTAAGCCCTCCACCACCACCACCCCAGAAACCCCTGAGGTGAGGACAGATGAAGGTGTGCGCAGTTCACCAGGGCCACCCTTTCTGCAAGACTTGCATGAGTGCCTTGAACTGTGTCTTAGAATGTGAGGGTGTTTTGCCACTCTTTGTTCTCCCAGCCTGAGGCCTCAACCCCAGTCTACACAAAAGGCCAGCTTTGAGCATGTTGTAATTTAGTGTCTCCATCTTATCACAAACATGCATCAAATACTTTATTAACAAAAACATGGATCCTCTTTCACACGGGATCGCTGCTCAGAAGAAAAGGCAATGTCCTTTAACTTGTAAAGATCATTTTTCTGGACACCGCCTGTGCAGGAAACATTTAGCATCACAGCCCTGAGCAACTGTCTACTTTTAGAAATCCTGCCTGCAAGGTGGACCCTTGGCTTGCACCTTGGAACTCAGCTGAGGAACAGTTCCCAACACTGATACAAAGCTTTCCTTAGATGATGAGCGCCTCATTGTGCCTCAACTGTACAAATACTGTGGTTTATGCTGAACTCCTGCTTTCCCTTTGGGAGTCAGGAATTTGAGTATGTGCTAGGCAGGGGGTGCCTATGTATAGTCCCCAACAAAAACCTTGGGTTCTGAGCATCTGATGGGCCTCCCTGGAAGAAAATACTTCAATGTTGTCACAGCTCATTGCTAGAAGAATTAGGTGTGTTCTGTGTGAGTCCAGAGGTAGGAGACTCAAAAATCGGTGCCTGGTTTCCTTCTTATTTATGTCCCATGAGCCTTTACCCTTTGCTAATTTTTTTTTTTAATTTCACTGTAATAAATATTAAATGAGTAAAATCATATGCTGAGTCTTAGAGTCTTTCTAATGAATTACTGAACATAGAGTGGT